TTTTATACTACCTTCAATCATGCATCAATCCATCAATCAAAGGGCTCAAACGAATTCATGGATTATTATTATTATTATTATACGATTAGTTTGAAGGTCAACATATCTAGTTTATACTTATACGCTAAGATCTCTATTGATTGATATGGATCATAGAATTTTTTTTTAAAAAAAAGGAAAGAAAAAAAAAACTTTAACTTGATTTCAGCTAGATTGACTTTAAGTAATTCTCAGTTCTATTAATGGCAGATAACCTTAGCATCGATTGCCTTAACCATCGTGCTATCACGGTTCATGGTTAGGGTACGATAGTTATCTCAATAAATAGGTATAATCTCAGAAATAATCAATGAGATTATCGTGATACCAGTTTTAAAATGTTTAATGGGGAAAAGGTATTTACAGTTTAAGAACTACAATGATAATATGTAACCTTTTTTTACATACTTAAATAACTTTTAGATGTTCTAAATTTATTTAGGGTATTTTTCAAACATTTAGTCAGGAAGAGATTTTCTTGAATAAAAAAATATAAAAGAGATTTTCTTGAAAATATTTTTGTGGATTGAAAATACCACTTCAAGGATATTAAAACTCATCAAAAAATGTCATCAATGTTTTATTTTAGGTTGTGATCGAGGATTTGGTCAGGCACTTGCTATTCGCTTAGATTCACTAGGTTACCATGTATTTGCAAGTTGTCTTTCACCATCTGATCCAGGAGTTCAGAATTTCAAGAATAAATGTTCCAGTCTTTTGCACGTTTTAGAAATGGATGTTACGAAGGAAAACAGTGTTCAGGCTGCGTTAGAATTCGTTAAAGAAAACCTGAGTACTTCAGGCAAGTAAATGTACACATTCTTCTTTTTTATTGCTACCTGAATACACGATTTTTGTATGTAAATAATAATTAAATTGGCATCAATTAACAAAACCCAATCATAAAGAGAACTATAAGGTATGTACCAAAACATTTAAGAAGTTAAAAAAAAATCAGCAAAAATTTTTGTCCTTCCTGAAGATTTTACATTATTCAATGTATGGTTTCCAAATAGTATACTTTCATAAGTCTGTCATAAAAAATGACTTAAGATTGTGCTTCTATTGATAAGTAAATTAGGATGTTAATTTATTTGGAAGATTAAAAATGCATTTTCTACTTCCTTAATCCAGGACTTTCATCTCGTTTTTCCTTTCAGAGCTTTGGGCCGTCGTCAACAACGCTGGTATTTTTAAAGGACTATCTGTTGAAATAGCTCCATTGCAAGATTTTGAAGCTTGTCTTGAAGTTAATACTTACGGTCCATTAAGAGTCACTAAAGCCTTTTTACCTTTGTTGAGAAAGTCAAAGGGCAGAGTTATCAATTTGACAAGTACAGCTGGTAAATCTGATTTCTTTTTCTAAGAGATTATTTATTTGAAAATGATATTAAAACACTGTAAAGGAATTCTCCTTTTTACTTTAAATTGTTAACAAACTGGCTTCGGTTGCTAATTTTTCTCCCTTCCCATTGGTTCTGACATGAAACTAAGTCTTTTAAAAAGAGCCAATGGATTATTTATGTTAAAATTTAGTATAATTCGTTTCTTAAAACTTGTTTTGAATTGCATGGTTTGATATCCGAACCAGGTAAGCTCAAAGTTTTAAATGCTTTTTTTTTACTGAGGACAATATAACTGGATTCTGGTAAAAACTGAGCTCAAATGCAACATTTCTGTGGGATAAACAAAGGGAGAAATTTACAGAAACTATTGTTCGTTTTTCTTTTTTTAATTTCATTCGCTTCCCCCTTACAGTTTGTGAATCAGGATTTAACTTTTTTTTCAAGAAGATACATATTTTTTCATAATCTTGAACTTTGATTAAGGGTTCAAATCTACAGTTTTTTTTTTTTTTTTTTTTTTTTTTTTTTTTTTTTTTTTTTTTTTTTTTGCATTAAGGTAAGGACTAAAAATCATTATATATTTTTGCAAATTTTTAATAGCATTTTGAGAATAATTATTGTTTTTTAAATCTATTATGCAACTTTACTGGTAATTTAATGCACTGCACATTAAAAATTTTAATCTTAGCTTTAGATTTTTTAAAATTCAGTTTCACAGATTTATGTTTCAGTTTTAAACGTGAAATTTTCTTGATATCTTTAAATAAAACGTATGAAACTACTATAAAAAAGTAGCGGATTTAAAAATAAAATTGAAAATTATTCCAGTAGGTTATCAGAAAAATGGCGTCGAAATTTTAATATTTTCACATGGGTTGGATGGGAGCAGTAAAACGTTCTTTCTTCTTCCATCAGCGGGGCAGTCTAGTACAGGCCGGAGCCGTCCTATTAGTCGCCTTCATCTGGCTCGATCAGACACTAGGTTTCTCTAGTTAAACCTCCTTAATTAATTTTAGTTGAAATCCATAAAAATGTATGAGGTTCGATTGTTGCTTCATGACCTATTGTTTCAAATCAAATGGATTGCTACTTTTGGCAGAGGTCCCATAAAATGCTACCTGAGGTAGAGGAGTGTTCCAATGCTGTCGGGGTATTTGTCGGGAAAGGTATAGTGAAGCTATACTTAGCATTTAACCCAAATACAGGTTATTTTAATTCAAAACAGAAGTTTTATATTTTCTAGTTTGATTTAAAATTACAAACATAAGTGGTGATATAACTATTGATACTACTCTTTAGTATGTATCATGTTAATTAGAGTTAAAAATCTATTACACATATTAAAGTTAATTTAAAATTTAAGGATTAAAATTTTCTTGATTACAATTTGATTCCATAACGTTAAGTAACACAATAAGGGGGGGGGAACTAAGATCACTCACCAGGGCGTCATATCTAATTCTTCGTTCCTCACCTTGCAACTGATTCCTAAAAGGATGCAACCCCTAGACATCAAGAGGGAACTTCGCCAAACTCACCCTTTGGCTCACTTTATCGATGTTTTTGGCACACTTACTATTTTGGGACTCCTTGCTCTGCATCAGTGGTATGAATTTTCAGTCTGATATCACCCTTCGGCTTGATCAGAAAAAAAATCTGCGGTAGTCGACTGTCTTACCAGAAATCAGAGATTTTTATAAACTTTTTCATTTATTTACGAAATGATTTTCTGGTTAACTTATTAACTGTTTCACTAATTTATTGTTTCGCCAAACCACTAATTGTTCCATTCATCAATTCACTAGTTCTTGGATACACTGATTCACTAATACTTCAGTTTATTGATTCTATTCTTTTCTTTCCTCGCTTTTTTTTTCCTTTTGTTCCCTCGCTGTATCTAGCAAGAATCATTCATAGTAAAATAGTTCAAACAATAATAATGAAAATACATTAACTGACAATACCTTAAGAGGACGTTTTTTTGTGTCAAATTTTGTTCCACCCCCTTTAATTTTTTTGTATTTAAAGTTTAGAGAAAAGTGAGTTCAGATAAATTTAGAGAAAAACACGAAGTCTCAAATACAGAAAAATGTTTTCAAAATATTAAAATACTAACAAATCATTGCAAGATTACTTCCACGTTGCGTAATCCCTCCAGAATATGTTTTCATTTCGATATTTTGAGAAACACGTTTCAGCATTTGAAACTTCATGGTTTAGTCTAGGCTTACGTGAACTCACTTTTCTCTAAACTCGAAAATACAAATTTAGGTGAGGCAAATCTGACATGAAATGTTTCTCCTGCTATATAGGGCTCTTTTAATATGTTGATACCGTCTTTCCAAGATTAGAGTATTTAATCTTGCATCTAATTTAGTTAGAGAGCTATATAGCATGCATCTAACAAACAGTGATTGGTTACGAGCGGAAATTTACCGAAAAGAAACGGAACAAAAACTGTTGCGAAACTGTTTATTTTTTAAGCAATTTCATTGAGTTATGTATGTTATTGCATGCTAGATAAGCTGTGTCTCTATTGATAAAACGTTAGTTCTTTTGCTAAGATCTTATTCCCTGCAGAAAATTTTGAAAATGAACTAAAGATGCAGAGATATTTTCATATTTAAAAAACTGCACAACCCGTATACTAATTTGCCTAAATTCAGAGCGATTTCGTGTCTTTTGGCTGGGCATGAAATGAAACGTAACACGTTGTTAAATACTAGTGCCATAGAAACAAATAAACTTCTTCAATATATATTGCTCATTAATTTTATAATTTTAGTCGAATGGATACCTGCAAGTAACGTCATCGCTGGTAAATCGTGGCATTTATCAATGCAGATGCCGACCAGATTCGACACACACGCGTGACGTCGCTTGGTATTCAAATAAGTCTGATTTTAATCACATGGTCATGAAATCGCAAAATCTTTCCATTTCTTCTCGAATTTCAAAATTACCAATTATACCTATTTTTTGCAGTTTGAATATCTAAAAAACTAAATATACAAAATATTATCAATAAAATTTAAATAATAATGTGAAATCAAAATGAAACGGAAAGGTTTCAACACAGAAAGCGAGATTTGAGGGAAACTACGCCTAATATTATTGTATAACAGACACCTCTAGTTTTTTTCTTTCGAATCTCCGATTTTGGACAGTTTCGAAGCTGCTTGTCGTAACTCTCTACAATCGTTAGGTACTAAGAGTTTATTCCAGACTAACAAAACTTACTAAATTTATTATAAAATGAAATGTGAGCGAATTTGATAATTTTCAGCACTTACTTTTCTGGTAGAATACCAATATTTGGATTTTCACCTTACACAGTGAGTAAATTTGCTACAGCAGGGTTCACCGACTGTTTTAGACAAGAAATGGATGTCTGGGGTGTTTCTGTCATATCTGTGGAACCGGAATCATATCAGTAAGTGCAGTATTTGTATTGATATTTTATAAACTAAAGGATGTTTTGAAATTCACGGAAGATTTTAATTTTGCATTATTTTGCGCAAAAAAATAATGTTGGTGAAAAACAAAAGCTAATAGTTAAGGCATATTGAAAATGAAGTTTCTATTTTATTGTAGAAGAACATATTTGAACAATCTTATGTCATTCCCTGTTCACGTAATTACTAATTTTGTCGAACAAAATTGGCCATCCAAATCATGCGACCTAACACCATATGATTTTCTGTCTTTGCTTTTCTTCTTTTTTATATGTAAAATTTAGGCTAGCAAAAACCTACAACCATTGAAAAGAAAAACAAAGAGCGCTGTCGCCAAATATATAAACCTTTATTGAGACCCAATTTACGACCCAATTTTTTCAAAATTTTGTGTCAATTTTCAAGGGTCAGGATTCCAAATATATATAAAAAAAATATATGTTTATTCAGAGAAAGCACGTTTTTGTGTCGGATTTCGTAACTTAATAAATAGTGAGAACTAATTAATTAGCATATTTGAGGTCACCCCAGGAACCATTAAGATTGACACTTAGTTCGTAAAAATCCGATCATTAGAAAGAAAGTTATTCAGGGTGATATCTTTTTTTTTTTTGCGGACTGTCCCTTCCTTTATGCAGTTTACTTTCAATCTCGTCATTTTTAATTTTATGACATATAATGACAAAATTTAAATCTGTATTAATGAAAAATCGTGACTTTTAGTTATATCGAAATTACTTTTTACATGAATTTTGAAACACTCTTTATTAGCAGAAAGATTAAGGCTGCCAAAATTTTTACTTGACTGTTATTTTAGAAAATTGTTTTCCAATTTATTTCCCCTATGTGATAGTAATGATGTAATGTTAAATTAAAGTTAACTACTAAAACTGTTGCCTCTATTTAAGCAAATTATTTTAAAACTCTACTTAATTTTTTCTTTGAGCACTTGACGCATAAATATAACACTTAGGAGGGAGTTGTACTTATTGCTGTTTGAATAATATTTCGCTAATGTTTGTCTTTTTCTTCTTCTTTTGCATATCTAAAAAATAATAACTACTAATTATAACTACTAATGAAACTACTTTTAAAAAATATTAGGTCATTCCATTTTCTATGAAGTAACTTTTGATTGAAAGACATTCTTTTCACTTGGTAAAGCAATACTTAAACCTGCAAATTGTAAATAATCTAAGGAAAAAATTTTTTCTATCAATTAATGAAATTCTTTGAAATTGATATAGTATTCTAAAAACGTTACTTTAAATTGAATACATAAGATAGCTTATTTAAAGCATCTTCATGCATAAGTGGAGACAAAATACATATTATTACCTGATTAAAAGACGATAAAATTTACAAAAAGCAAATAACAGTGGACATGTTTCCAGGGCTTCATAAATAGATGCTTGTTTTCAAGATTTCACAGATGTGAATGAGAAGAAAGAAAAGTGATTTGAAATAAAAAACGTAAAAATTCCAACGAAAATATGAAAAACAAAGGTGAGAAACTAAACTAGAAAACCACAGTAGACACGACAGAAGAAAGACAGGGTAAAATGCATTTCCACTCGCTATGGAGAGTTTGTGAGAAACTAATATCATTAACAGGGGAATCAGCATTCATATGAATAAAGCATGATTCCAGGGCATCAAGATGAGCTGGTGTGATTGGGATAGAAATAATTTTGCCATTGTCGAAATTGAATTTATGCCCAAGATTCCAACAGAAATGCAGCAATTGATGATTTCTCGAATTTTGTACACATCTCAGTTTTATTAACTTTTAAAGAGATAGGCGCATTTGTTGAAGAAATTCATCATTTAAGTAATTTTCTCACAGAAATTTCATCCGTAAAACGCATTTTAGTTTCACTGCATAAAGACTTGCAAGGAAAAACAATTTTTACAGAGATAAGTGCGTTTGATGAATTAAGTAATTTTCCCATAGCAAATTCATTGCTAAAATGTATTTTACCTTTTGTGCATTATAAGTACTTGTAAGGAAAAACAACTTTTACAGTGATAAATGCGTTTTTTTGAAGAAATTCGTCAATTAAGTAATTTTCAAGTAGCAAATCCATCGCTAAAATGTATTTTAGTTTTACTGCATTATAAGTACTTGTAAGCTAAACCAACCTTTACAGAGATAAGTGCGTTTGATGAAGATGCCCGTCATTAAGTAATTTTCCCATAGCAAATTCATCGCTAAAATGTATTTTACCTTTTGTGCATTATAAGTACTTGTAAGGAAAAACAACTTTTACAGTGATAAATGCGTTTTTTTTAAGAAATTTGTCAATTAAGTAATTTTCAAGTAACAAATCCATCGCTAAAATGTATTTTAGTTTTACTGCATTATAAGTACTTGGAAGGAAAAACAACTTTTACAGAGATAAGTGCGTTTGATGAAGATGCCCGTCATTAACTAATTTTCCCATAGCAAATTCATCGCTAAAATGTATTTTACCTTTTGTGCATTATAAGTACTTGTAAGGAAAAACAACTTTTACAGTGATAAATGCGTTTTTTTNTTTGAATATCTATAAAACGAAATATACAAAATATTATCAATAAAATTTGAATAATAATGTAAAATCAAAATGAAACGAAAAGGTTTCAACACAGAAAGCGAGATTGGAAGGAAACTACGCCTAATATTATAACAGACACCTCCAGCTTTTTTTTTCTTTCGAATCTCCGATTTTGGACAGTTTCGAAGCTGCTGATCGTAACTCCCTACAATCGTTAGGTACTAAGAGTTTACTCCAGACTAACAAAATTTATTAAATTTATTATAAAATAAAATGTGAACGAATGTAATAATTTTCAGCACTTACTTTTCAGGTAGAATACCAATATTTGGATTTACACCTTACACAGTGAGTAAATTTGCTACAGCAGGGTTCACCGACTGTTTTAGACAAGAAATGGATGTCTGGGGTGTTTCTGTTATATCTGTGGAACCGGAATCATATCAGTAAGTGCAATATTTGTATTGATATTTTATTAACCAAAGAATGTTTTGAAATTCACGGAAGATTTTAATTTTGCGTTATTTTGCGCAAAAAATTTTTTTGATGAAAAACAAAAGTTGATAGTTAAGGTATATTTAAAATGGAGTTTTTTCTACTGCAGAGGAACATATTTGAACAATCTTGGGTCTTCCCCTGGTCATGTAATTACTCATTTTTTAAACAAACTTGGCCATTCAAATCATGCGACCCAACAACGTATGATTTTCTGTCTTTGCTTTTCTTCTTTTCTTATGTGTAAAATTTAGGCCTACAACCATCCACACATTGAAGAAAAACAAAGAGCACTATATCAGCAAAATTCAACCACATTTATTTAAAACGACCATTGAAAACGCGAAAGAATATTACGTTTGTGCCAGAAAAGCGAAAAGGCCGTTTACCTGGTAAGTCAACATAATGTACAGTTGGCAACAACAAAAAAATCACCCTGAATAATTTCGTTCTAATGATCGAATTCTCACGTACTAAGTGACAATCTGAATGGTTTCTGGGGACGACCATATATGCTAATATGCTATCGATTAATTAAGTTAAGAAATCGGACACAAAAATGTACTTTCTCTGAATAAATATATATATTTTTTTACATACTTGGATTCTTAATCTTCAAAATATAGGGGGTAGCCGCAATCTGGGAAATATGGTCCCCATAGTTTTGCCAGGAGAGCGATTCAAAGCTTGGACCCCATAATGTTAATTTCACTTTTTTGCGTTTTTAGTAATATCTTTAACATTAATTTAGCAATTAAAAATAATTGCACCCACTCATAAAACTCATTTACCCAAAGATAATTTCATGCAAAAAATGATTTTAATAGTTATTTATTATTTTTATTATTTAATTAAATTGAAGATGAAAAAATTTTGAATTATAAGGTATGAATTTTTTTATACCATATTAATCTACATATTTTTCAATTGAAAAATCTAAAGTTTCAACTGTTTTTATTTAGTAGAAGCTGAGCAAATTTAAAATTAATAACTTTTGAAAAAATAATTTGGCGACAATGAAGAAATATTTAAATAGGGCGATTAATATAAAAATGTGATTAACTTACGAGGAACTTGAAAAAAATTTCATTCATGTTTTTTTCGCTAACAACCGATTGCTAATCTTTTTCTCTTTATTTTTTTTTTAACTAAAAATACGATGTTTCGTTTTTAATCGTCTAAAAATTTATTCGAAATTAAGTAAAGAAATTTGAATAAAGCATTTTATTGAATTAAAAACATTTTATTCAACGAATGTCGAGTTTTATAAAAGCTTACTTCTGATAGAATATGATTATACACCAAATTGTGTTTATTTATTGTTATTATATTTTATTTTTTAGTTTGTTTTCTCAATAATTGATACAATTTCAATAGCCTACATACGTATGCCTAGATTTGGAGTAATATATTTATTAATTTATTTAATAGATAGTTTATAATTATTAATACGAATACGTAGTCAACATTTTTAAGCATCTTAAAATTTCTCAACATATTATACATCTTCTTAATCTTAAAATAAATTTTTTAATCACCTGTCAGGGAGTGTTTCGCAGAACTATCTTTCCAACTATTTAATTAAATTTTAACATTTTTAAAAATCTTATTCTTTACGCTACTACGTATAATAATTCTTCAATAATCAATTTTTTTAGTACTTTTATTTAGGTTTTCTTCTAAGTAAAGTTCCTGTTTAAATTACAGTCAAGTTTTTTTTTAAAAGAGAACTTATAATTATTGTCTGCTAGCTAGGAATAAAATCTTGTTAAGAAATTAAAAACATTCCCCTGATTAAAATTATTTGATGCAAAACGACTGACTATTTGCTGAGTATACTACTTTTTTCGAAAAATGAATGTAAATTATCGATTGTTTTTTTTTTTTGTTTTGTTTTTTTGTTTCTTGTGACTTCAACATCGATTACCTAAAATGGTGTATATACATGTTTTATAAGTCACTACAAAGAGTATAAAGATACCGAACATAAAAAGTTGTCGAATACGTAGCCAAAATACTGAAGCGTCTTAAAATATTTCAGTATCTTAAATGTCGTCATAACATGTCAGTTGCGAAGTTAAATTTTTAATTATCTGACAAGGTATGAATCAACGAACTGTCCAACAAATAATTTCATTATATCTTTTACTCTTTCTTTATATATTACATGTTTTGAGAGTCCAATGATTAAAATCACAAGTCATTCACGCCTGACAAGTCTTGAGAATGGGAGCTTATATTTGAACGCTCGAAACATGTCAACTTTTATTTCCCTCTTCATATTTTTTGAAGCCAATGGAATTTTTATCATCAATTATGCTGTTTTGCATTTGGGTCATGATAATTTTGATAAGGAGTTTACGCTCGTTAAAGTAAACATGTGCATTTTAATATTTTAACAGGATTCATGTGGTCTTTAAAAGCGTAAGAAAACCGTAGCATCAATATTGTAACTATTAAAGTTATCTTTAACTTTAAAATTTTGAGACCAGATATTTTGAGTTAATGAAATTGAATAGTTTATCTTTTAAGTTTTTGTGCCCTATTTCAGTATCTTAGGGACCTTACGAGCTCTGTTTAAAAAGAGAGCATCGTATCAGATAAGAGAACAAAACAAAACAAAAATCATAGTAGCTGTATTTGGTGGTAAATGTAGCTTATCGTAATTGAAGAACATGCTGTGCAACATTTTAAGGTGAATTTCAGAACGTAAGTTTCAGAATGTAATGAGGATGCTATTTGCAAATCATCTTCATCCAAAGAAAACCATGTAACCTAAATATCTAGCAGAATGAAGCGATTTTTTAAACAATGAAACATACAATATGCGACATATTATTTCAATATCTCAACATATTATTTCAATATTAGCAAATCATCTTTATCCAAAGAAAACCATGTAATCTAAATACCTAGCGTGAGTCATGTAGCTAAATACCTAGACAGAGATAAGTGCGTTTGATGAAGAAATCCGTCATTAAATAATTTTCCCATAGCGAATTCATCGCTAAAATTGTATTTTAGTTTTACTGCATTGTAAGTACTTGGAAGGAAAACCAACTTTTACAGAGATAAGTGCGTTTAATGAAGAAATCCTTCATTTAAATAATTTTCCCACAAAAATTTAATCGGCAAAATGCATTTTACTTTCACTGCGATGTAAATAATTGCAAGAGAAAATTACTTTTGTACAGATTAGCAGCGTTACTGATGTAAATCATCAAGTAATTTTTCAGTCAATGCATTAACATTTTCTTTCAAATTCCACCAGTATAAAATGCATTTTAATTTCCCTATTTCACCAGTACTTCAACAAAAACAGCTTTTGTAGAATTCTCTCTGTTCACAGAAGTAATCTAAAATTTAAGTAATATTCCAACCACTGCATTAAATTTAATAAATGTTGTTTTATAATAACTATGCCCACAATCAAAAAATCATTGGGGAACATTTTGTTTTGGACAAAGAGTTTGAATTGTATTTTTAAGAGAATGAGCATAGCTGATTAAAACATGGACATAGATAAAGTTTTGCATTTGAGAATAGACAAATTGGGTTCGATTTGACGTCATTGTAAACCATTAAAATGCAACATTGGAGGCAAGATTGAAAATCAAGTCGAAATTACATTTAAAATTTTTTATGCTAATATTATTTGATTTTTTTCTTTTTGCTTTTCATATTACTACTAATTATACACTGAGGAGATTATAAGCATTATATTTAGCCTAGTTTCTAAATTTACTTTATTTCGTAAATTTAATCATTCCTAATCTCTTTTTAAATATTAGATAACTAATTTTAATTCACTTTTACAAAGAACGAATGCAAATATTTCTATTCTCAATAAATAAAATAACTAACTTTTTATTCCAATGCAAGCGCATAACTAATTATTATTCAGTGTCACAATTAAGAAACCAACCTATTTTTAACCTTTCTCTCTTCAACCACATTAACGTAATTAGATTTACTTAATTTCTAACAAATGTTTTGGCCCTAAATTTTTAAACAAAGTAGTTAAATATTAAGAAGGGCTATCGTGAGGTTGGCTTTGCTTTTGGCATTGTTCCTATAATGGATCTCTCCTGTACTCCAAAAGCATTGATTAAATAACTACTTTTGATTATACAGGCTGTGGAGAACTTATCATCCTTGGTTCGACTTTATTCATATTGAGTAAAATTTATGATTTTACTTAAAATGTCACATAGATATTATTCTTTTTATTTTTCACCTCAAGGTCTGCAACGAAATGCAAATTTCACTATGATTATGATACCGTTTTCATCATCTCATATGCTTTAATCAGATAACTTCCATTAATTTTTCGATTTCTGCCACAATCAACAAAAACCCCTATAATTCAATCAACACCAACTGCTACACATTTTCCGTTATATATATTTTACACAGTATCAAACACATTATTTTACTTTTGTCATTTTCCAGCTATTTTTTTAAAACAGAAAATATTTTAATTGTATTTTTTCTTCATTACAGAACTGCCATGACAGATCCAAAGCTATTTTTCAAGCACATCGAAGAGAATTTGAGTAATTTAGATAAAACCATTAAAGAAGATTATGGAGAGGAATATTTTAAATCCATAAGAAAGTTAACAAGAATCGTCCTTGATCTTGCTGCACCTAAAATTGAAAAAGTAATCGACGATTTGGAGTCTGCAATTACGCTTGAATATCCAGATCGGGTGTACATGCCTTGTAGAAATTTATTATTCAAATTTTTGTTTTCTGTACAAAAAGTTTTGGCTCTGGTCGTACAAGACATTATCGTAAAAGTTTTTACATTCTTTCTCTTATTTAAACACTTGAAACCAGGTGCAATATAACTAAGTAACTTAAATTTTAGACTTAAAAAATAATATTTAGCTGTCTTTAGATAAACAAATTTAAAAAAAAAACTTAAAATGATTTAAATATAATGAAGTATAAAACATACATTTCAATAGTAGACATCATTTTTAAAATATATATACCTAGTGAACGTTAACCCTTCAATCGTTCTGTAAAATTTTATTGAAATTCTCCAGTTACTGTTTTCTCTATGAATAAAACAGGGAAAACAGTTTTTGAATGACGGAAAGTCAGCAATTTTAAACTTGAAAAAAGTCAGTAATAACGCTCCTAGAGTTACCATTATGGATGGTGATTACAATAATTAAGTAAGCATTAACAAAAGCCTGAAGATCCTTCGAAAAAAGTTCCAGTTAGAAAATCACTGCTAGAGCTTATTTTAACTTATCTTACGAGACGATATTTTAGAGCACCTGATTTCGTTTCTTATTTTTTCGAAACATAAAAGATTATGGACTCAAAAATTTTACAATTTATAAGATATCTACACCATCATTTGATCCTGTTAAGTATTAAGACAATATCGTTTAGAATAATTTAGTTTCAAAAAAAGAATTAAGTTGTCTAATTTTGAAAGAAACCGCAGACTTGGCAACCATGATTTGGCTAAATTTTTATTTCTGGTGTGTAGTATTATTGAGTACATTGGTCATTTCTATATCGAATATGTAGTTTTAGTGAACGAATGATTGTTTAAAACATTGGCTAGCTTAATAAATAAACAACAAGAAAACACAAGGTAGGCAAATAGTAAGAAAGTAGACAGGATACTCCTAAGTCTTGCAGTAGAAAAGCATATAGCGTATTCTACTGCTGTAGAAATCACTATGCAATTTTGTTTGTGATACTCTAAAATTTAAATTACTAAATATTGTTAATAATAAGTTATTAACAGATATTTGTAATTTGAACACATGAAATCAATCTTTATCACTAATATTTTTCATACTAAAAACCAATGAACTCCCCAAAATTGTTGGTCATAGAGGTTAAAATCCATAAATTTGAAACCAGTGGCATAAATGCATTTCTTTAACAGAGACGACTGAAATATTTTAATGGGCATCCTATACTGTTCTTACATTCATGTGTAATACATAACACATGCATCATATACACATGCTACTAAACAGACAGCTTCAATTTCCGCTTATGCTTTGTACATTGAAAATAAAATATTTAGAGATGTTTAAAGCTTTGTTCTTTTTTTTAAGATTTTTTCTTCGTGTCAAAGTGTTAGATGTTGCAAACAAATAAATGCACATTTTAAGCGTTTTTTACACTAGGATTATTGTACACTGGCATATTAAATCGTTGATGCTCTGCAACAGTTTTTCCTCCCATTGCGTACTATTTTCAAGACAAAAACAACAACTTTTCAATTTTCCATCATATGAGGCAAGTCTTATTAAAGGACTTTTTTTGAAGAAGAAAAAAAGGACTTTTTTGAAAAATTAAGGACTTAAATAGTATGATTGATTATCATCGAATATACATATACCACCAGCGACAGTGTCAACTATTTACTTTCTTAAAAAAGAAAATCAATAAATAAAAAAAATAATAATAAACAATTTTATTATAATGTAAATACTGCTATATATAATTGTATTAACAGGGCTGTCCAAAGTAGAATCAGGCAAAGCGTTTTAGAAGACGACCCGGGTCGGTTTCTTTTAAAAAATATTTTCAGATTGTTAAGGGTTAACGGCATCTATGAAACTAATCCGTATTCCATTTTAAATTATTTAATTGAAGAGTAAAATTAAGATTTGCAAAAAACAATTATCCCTACCATGTACAATATCCCCTTATCCACATTCTATTCCTTTCTTTGAGAATGCTTCATTCTCCTCAGAGTATTATTCTAGATAAAAGGCAGAATACATTAATGAAAGGATATGCTTTCTTTCCCTTGCCTACAGCCCCTCCTCACACACATCCCCTCATGTCTCTCTGAAATGCTCTACCCTTCATGTATGGTCTCATTCTAGGTTACAAAAGAACAACTTTTTGTTTTAAAAAATTTAACTGAAAAATTGTTTCTATCAACTAGAGTGAGGTGGAAAAATTAAGGACTTTTAAAAACCGTGTAACAAAATTAAGTACTTTTAAGAGCCCTTATTTTTCCAAATAAAAATTAAGCAGTTTTAAGGACCGCATTAGGTAATACAGTCATTTTCCTAAACCTAGACACCATTGTTATAACTATAGCTGAAGCTGTTTGAAAGTTAAAGAGAACTGATACAGACTTTATTACACACACTGCGTATATAAATATACACATATGTATAAGAGATAAAAAATAACTTTATAAAACAAATCGAATTCAAACAAAATATTTAAATGTAGAAAAGTTTATTAAAGTGTAAAGTACAGAAATAAGTTATATCAAGTACAAAACAAAAGCACATTAACAGGACTAGAATAATAGAATACATTGTCTACATAATTCAAACTAAGAACATCAAGTTCAATCTAGTAAAATGCGATTGAATTACATCTAAATATAAATCAAAAAAATATTGTATACAATTGTAAATACTAGTAAGTAGAAAAATGACTAGAATATTTACTATATTCTATTATAATAGAAAAATGATTTAAACTAAAAAATTCTCTCAATGTAAATAAAAATGTAAAAGTGTAAATACAACTATATTTCGAAAAATGACTATAAATTCATATCACATTTGTAAAAAAAATAGTTCGCTAAATATAAGCCAAATAATGAAATGCAGGAATTCCACAGAAATACAGTCAACTTAAAGAATACTAGCTTTTAAGCATTGTAAGTAATAATTCAATTAATTTCATACTATGTCTAAAGGTGGATATTTTTTTTAAATATTTGCTTTATATATAGTACTATATATTATTTTTTATATAAATAACAGGATCTTCCTTTCATTTTATTTCAAGGTATTGTATATAATACCAAATGCATTGAAAACAAAGTATAAAATAAAAGCATTGATAATGTTTTTATTGAAAAATTTGCCTTAAGCAAAACGGTGTATTCTATTTAAGCAAAGTGATAAAAGAAAGTTTCTAAAGCAGATATGGAAAAATTCACAAAACTTGCAAAATTTTTAATTTTCATTTTTTTTAAATATTTCAAACAAACAAAAAACTAAAATTTTGGGGGACTCTTTTTTTTTTTCCCCTGCAGAAACTAGGTATGAAGGAAGCCAATTTAACTTGACTCCATTTAAGGAAGATATGTAATTTATATTAACTCAAGCTGTTTTAATTATAATAGTTGCTCAGGAAAAAGATTGAAAGTTGGTGCAAAATTTAAATCAACTCATTCATGTTTTTATTACTTTGTCGATCTACTATTCTACCTTTACAGTAAAACTATTTAATACTTAGTAAAATGGTATTTTGTATAATTATGACTTAGTTTGGATACTTTACACTTTGCTGAAATTTACTATGCATTTCATAAAATACCAGAAGATAAAATAAATGCGCAAACATACAGATTTTAAACGCATAAAAAAATATATTTACAAATATATATGTATATTAAAATAAATTAATTAATGCATCTGAGATTTTTGAAACTATGCATGCAGTAAACTAATGACAATAGAGACATCCACATACTATATTAATAACAGCATCTTTTTTCATTTTAGATACACTTTCGATTTTTCTGACTTCATCCACTGTTAAGCTTACTTGAAATTTTGATGATAAATACAGATTATTTTGCAAAATTAAGGATATTCAGAAATAATGATAATATAATACATATAAAAGATGATCATAAAGTATCAGGTAAAAAAAAATAATGGTTAAAATAAAGTTCTATTTGGTAAATTATGAGGAAGTGTGTCAAAAAATGATCTTTTTCTATTATTGCTACAGTTCTGAAAAAGAACACAAGAAAAAGTGGCACAAATTTTTTTAAAAATTAAGATTGTTTTTCCTCAAGCATCACCTTTAAAATTTTGAGAAAATACAAAATTGGAGTGATTAACAAAATTCTTTAGAATGCCATTGTTCACATTGCAAGGTTGAAAAATTATTGGAAAAAGTTTACTAGTGATTTTTTTAATAATAAATATAATAACATGCTGTTAATCATTGTTTCTAAATTTTACTCAGTAACTCAATTGTAAACTCATCAGAGTATACTAAGTATAGTTTTTTTTCATTTAACATAAAATTATCAAGATTAAAATTATAATTATGGATAAAATCAAGATGAAAAATGTAAAGGCAACAAAATTTTTTAAAGACAATGCACATCTATAGAACTTTTTTTAATTTAAAAAATTTCAGTATAGTTATGTTCTTTAGAAACATTGGGAAAAAATGATTTTCAACCCGACCTAAAGTAAAACCATGGAAAAAAGCAGTGAAATAGTGAAATAAAGAAAATTTAATGAAGTTCTGTACATAAATAAGGTTAAAATAGTAGCTAAAAGCACAAATAATGTCATTATTTTTGTTTTTCTGCATTAACACCATTTTTAATTCTGGTATACCAGAGTCTTGAATAAAATATGCTCTTGATACTAGGTATAATTTTCTAGCAATAATGTGTTGTTTCATGACCACCATTGGCAAATAACATAAATTCGCAAATATATTTCAAAATATTTTGTACAATAATATCTTATTTGAAAAAACTGTGCAGATAATGACAGGATTTACTTTTTAATAAGATTAGCATAATATATAACACAATAACAATTATACATAATGATTCACTTAAAATATATAGTATATTATAAATATCAGCATTACATAATATTTTCATCTCTTAACATGAAATATTTTCTTTAATGTGATTTGGCACGAGCAATGTGAGGGCAAAATAAGATAAATAAAATTATTATAACACATATATATCTCTAAAAAAAATACTGAACCTACTAATTTATTACTTTTTGTTAAGTGCACAGAACATAAATATGCCTGAAACCAAACGTGAAAGCTGTTAGTATTTTAATGGAAAATTCAAAAGTTTCAAATATCTAAAACTATAACTGCTATAGTAGCATTATCCTAACTCAATTAAAGTTTTAAAAAGTAAATAAAAACAAAATTTAGGGTTTTTTAAACAAAAGAATTTTTTTAAATTCAATATTCAATTGTTTTAATCGCTCAACTGATTAATTATTTGGATCATCTAGATAACAAGCAAATGACAAATGATTGTGAAAAAGTAATACACATAAATGATTGTTAAAAATATTAAGTACACAATAAAGTTCAAAAAATATTTGAACAGTTGGTACAATATAAATATCATAAAATATCACAGTAACAAAAATGTTTATGAAGATATTAGAAATAAAATAGCCTCAAGCTCTCTCTCATAAGTTGATACTGTTCTGAATTAATCATACAAGCATAATCCTTTTCTCTTGAAAAGATTATAATGGATTGTTGTCAGCTACAAATATTGGAAGAATTATTTTTAATCAAATATTTTCATGCAAAATTTGATAATAAAACTGACAAAAAAAGTATATTTTGGTTAACTTTAATTTAATATTAAAAAAAAAGAATTGTTTTAATCATATTAAATAACAAATTTTGAGCAATATTAGTCCATCAATATATATTTGACAATATTGACAATTGATTGAATGATGGAGAACCATATAAAATGGCATTTGAATAATATTTGACTGATGATTTATATTTGTTCAACAATATGTATTATTGATTGAATGATGCTTAAACTTATAAAATAACAAAATTTGAACAATATTTTATAAAATTTTAATCCAAAAATTAAGAATAATTAGCCTTTAAAGAATTGGTTTTTAGGTACTCCTTAAAAAAGTAACCTCACAGAGATTATAACATAATAAAAGATTATATAAATGTACTGAACTAAACTCAGTGGTGCGACAGCCCATAGAGGGCCAAGGCCTACTATGCTCATCTCAATTTTCTTGACCTTGGGCTCTGGGGTGCAGGAGCAGATGTTCCCGTTAGGTGGTCAGCCGAAAGCGAAACCCCCAGTGTTTAGTTCCCAAGCATGCTTGGTACTCATTTATCGACCCACTGAAGGGATGAAAGGCTGAGTAAACCTTGCCCGGCCCGAGGATTGAACCCAGGACCTGTGGAACAGGAGAACAAAGCGCTACTCTCAGCCACAGGGCGTCGTATAAATATACACATATATATAAAGTAAAACTTCGATTTAACATCACTCATCAGACTAGACAAAAAAGAATTCCCATGAAAACTAACATTTAAATGCATACAAATGCAACTATATTTTATGAATACTCAAATACAATCTGAAACTTAAATGGAATTTATTTAACAAAGAAAAAAACTTATGTTATTTTAATCAAAAGCCAACATTTTGGTTTCTTTACGCTCTCTCTCTTTTTTGTCTAAAAGTATGCAATGAATTTTAAACATTTCCAAGGCATCCATTTCTCTCTCTTGATCTACACGTATTTGGAGGAAAATTTTCAATCCCCACAGTTTAACTGCCGCTTCATTAAATGATGGGGGTGAAATTAAAGATTCACAGTCTTCTTCATCTCTACTGGATTTCATAATTTCAGCCATTCAAATTGCCTCTGATTCATAAGTCATCAGATCATTATCACATCACGAATATTCTATAAAGTAGGCATTGGCCTTTGTTCTGAAATGTGGTCAGTATTTTCACAGGTCGGAATGATACATAATTCAAACATAGAATTTTAGAGGAAATATTTTTTTTAAGCTAGAAGTTTCTAAACAGGACATAACAAGAGTAGTTTCCAAAGGAAGAAAATTAAAAATTTCAAATCAATTTTATGAAAAGTGGTAGTCTTGAAGAAAGTAAGAACAGCTAGTTTGAAATAAGAGTAAACTGAGTGGCTCAATGCAACCCACTAACAATTTTGCAGAATAATTGTCAAAGGTTTCTTGCTCAATTAAAAAAAAAAATTGGATTTTTCAGGCATTTTAGGAAAATTTCAAAGTTATTCCACACAATATTTTATTTATACGCTTTAATCTTTCATCATAAAAATACCTTTTTTCTCCCCCTTTTATATGTTGAATGTTAAATTTTGTGAGAAACAAAATATAACTAAATGAAAATATCACATGAAATAACTTTACTTAAATCTAGATTTTTTACAAGAAATAATTATCGACAATATTATTAAACTTTAATCTCAATAACTAATTACTGATAATGAACACTGAATTTCCTGACAATTCTGAAAATGGCAATTTCCCATATATATTACGATTTTCAAAATTTTTGCCAAACAAGAAATGCAATTTACATCAAATTTTAGAGTCAGAATTTATTTTCCTGATAATTCTAGGTCTTCCCTGCACTCCCTCAGTTGTGAAAGTTCTGTTAGTCTTTACAGTATAAAATAAAAATAACATATTAACACTAACACTTATTAATTTAAGATAAGTTTGTAATGTTTTCACAAACTCTCTATCGTCATGTGTGAGCAGTGGTAATTTAATTGTTTCTTTCCTATCACTATCTTTTACAAACATAAGGTCAGAAGCACAGATACAACAAGAAATATAAAAATCTATTTGATGGTTTTCATAGCAATATCTTGTGTCAATCACTGCAACTACCACTCATAATTTATTATTTTTATCAATATGTGAAGTTATATCTTTGTGACATTAACTAGTGATTCATGACAAGACATTGAAGGAACTTTACATCATTTATCTTTATTGTTTATTTAAATAAGATTTAAAACAAACTGAATTAAAGTCATTTCAACACACTAATTTATTTATTTATTTGAAATTTTAACATACATTTTCTAAGATAATTTTTTAATCCAATGCTTTTTTTAAAATAATAATTCCCAAGAAGTTAATACAAATTGCAAACTCCAAGTTATATTCATAACAAAAGAGTTTTATATATCCTTTAATAATTTAAATCAACCATTTAATTTATTAAAAATTCCACTAGGATCTTGTAAAATTTATGCTCAAAATAAACAATAAATTTAAAAATTAACAATTTATAGAAATTATAAATAGTCCCATATTCATTAAACCTTAAAGAATTTAAATAAGGTGTTTTTGTGATCTGTAGCTTAGATAATTAAAACTGTTCTGACTTCCATGCAAAAATAATTTTAAGATTTTCAATTCAAATTTTAATTAAAAATTTTCATTAATGTAAAAGTTATTGCATTGTATCAACTTTCATTAATAAAAAAATAAAAAGAAAAAAAATAGAAAATTATCTTTTAATCAGTACTTACAGTACAGTAATAGTAATAAAACTTACCGTCAAGATTTCCATTACTTATTATAACAGGAGTGAACTTGCTCCCTTTGCCAGTTAACTCTACAGGCATAGTATCCATATTCACACTATCTCCTTTACTTTCTAAAAATTAAAAAACGTTTGAGTGTACAGTGTGCAAAATAAAAAATGAAACACTTTAATAATTTTTGATCTAATGATCTGATTTTCTCATGCTAACATAAAATTCTAATAGTTCTAATTTTTATTTTGCATACTGCAGATAAAATTTTACATATAAGCATATCTCTTGAACAAAAAGTAGCCACTGCAAAACTTTTTCATTAGTCCTTAATAGCTTAGATATAAATAAAAATATTAAAGATGAAAAAAGTAACAGAAAAAAAATCAGTTCCCAGCTGTTTTCAGAAACAATGAGTTTCTGATCTAATTCAGCCTTACTTACAGTATTGGGTTGAAACTGTTTTACAAATTTATCTTATGGCAAAGGAACAGAATATGCTATGAAATGAAATTTCTTATTAAGTTGTGCTAATAAATTGGAGGGGGGGGGGATTTTACATTGCAAATTAGAGCAAACAATAAACAAAAATTAATAGTTTTAAAATTTGAATCACAACCATTACATTAATGAATCTGATGAAGTTCTCGATTTGAAGTCGTTGATGGCGAATCTTCAACTCGTGACCAAAACTATTTGCTCACCGTATTGTTGAAAAAATCCACTTCTCATCACCAGTTATCATTTGTTTTAAAAAAAAGGCCATTTTCTTGACTTTTTATGAGCATATTGCCCATGTTTATTCATGTCACGAAATGAACTTCCTTAAGTGCATGAGGAACCTAAATTTCGAGCTTGCTTACCCAGTTTCTTAACATGGACCTGAACACTATTTTGACTGACCTTCAACATGTCAGCAATTTCTCATGTCATGTAAAGTGGGTTTGACTGGTTGAATGTTTTTATTCTGATATCATCAATCCGGGTAGGACTTGCTGATAGAATGGAATCTTTCAAATCAAACTCCCCAGTTTGGAATTTCTTGAACCAGCATTGGGATTGACGTTCTTGTACAGTATCATCACCATAAACTTTCTGCAATTTTTAAAATGCTTGACTAACATTTTTCCTTTTATGGAAGTAAAATATGGCAAAAACGAAAATTATAATCTTTCCTGTTCAAAGTGCAGTCAAATTTCCAAATCTCAATGAAATAAATCAATTTTTTATTTAGAATAAATCTTAAACTCTTTGTTATCAATGACGTCAAAACTATGATTGTGAATGCTTCAAATATTTCAGAAACTGTGCGACTGCTATTCATATTTATATTTTTAAAAAAATGCAATGACTTTTTACTCAACCTAATAAAATATGCAAAAATTTAATCTGAAGTGTGCCTAATTTTAATTATTGAATAACCATGGAAGTCAAATTACCTTTGAAGCTATTTCATACAAATAAATAAAGATTGTTTAAGTTTTTATTTAATATATCTTTACATAGATTAAAAAAAAGACAAAAGTAAAGTAATATTAAAGATATTAAATATACTAATCACACATTAAAACATAGTTATGCATCCTTTTATTTAAATTGTGAATTTAAAGTTACTTTAATATTAAATTATTAATGTAACTTTAATTATTGATAATTTAAATTATTAGAAAAATGAAAATACCATAAGTTGCAATTTCAGGTGAATATTCAACTCTACAAGCTGTATAAAGAGGACATCTAGACCAGAAGCAACAAACAGCAATAACAACAGTGAAAAATATGCAACCTGTTATAACAGTTATGGCTACAATTGCAGCAATCCTAAAAAACAAAAACAAAATTATAAATAAAAGAGAATTTTTAAGGGATATTACCTGAGCTCATGCAATTAAGTTTATTTATTAAACTTCAACTTCACAACTTCAGAATTCTTTAAAAATTTTCATGCACACCAGATGAGACTTTTTAAAAAATTGAAAGATTGTGTTGATTTCACCTGTCAGTGAAAGATTTATATTTCCAGACTGGTTATAAAAGTTTTAATGTCGAAGCCAGGGGCACAGCAAACCAATATTTTAAATAATTTTATTATTTTTAATGAGGGGTAAATTCTTAATTTACCAAATGAAATTACTTTTTTGTTCAAACAATCATAATAAGTTCCTTTGCTACGAGAATTGGGGAGATTTCCGTATTATGATCTGTGGCAGAATAACCGCCAAGTCTCGGCAACGACCCTGCAAGAAACTGAAGAAAAAAAAGTATCACAGAAAGGGATCAACTTGAAAGGTATAACTCGTAGCCAACCCAGGGCAAAAATCTACATGCTGTTTTTTTCTTTTAAATTTGCAAGTTTAAAATTTATTTGGCACCTTGACGATTGTAGTTAGCTCGGCAGATCACAATACCATAATATTCCCCTAGAAATTACTTTTAACATTACTGTATAATTTTTTCAATTCCCAAATGAAATTAAAATTTAAACCTGCTAAATGATGGATAGTCTTTGTCTGCAGTGAAAAGTAATTTGATAATTTGAGATGAAGGGCAGTTTATTTATTTGCTGAAGGTATCTGGTTTAATTGTTTAATGGTTTTGCTTAAACTGTAGTATTTTTTAGAGCTTACTTAAATCACAGAAAAATTTTGCGTTACATAAACAACACATTCGGTAAACTAGTCAAAATTTTTAAATATCAGATAAAAATCAGATCAACAACGAGTGGGGCCCAGATTGAAGAAGATAATTTTGTAATGAAGTTATAAAAAGAAATATAAAAAAGACAATTTGCGTTATATAATCATTCATTTTCATTATAGAAGTTATTACCTGGAGTCGATTTCATAAAAATATCTTTTTTCAGGTGGACAACAACCATTCATTCCAGCTTTACTGCAGCATTCAGTATTCACTTTAGGATCTCTAACACCAGGACAAGTATAATTCCCAATGTTTATGGGCACACCCTCTGGTATAGGATGCCCATCAGTAGCTGCATCATTCATAACATAGTTAAAATTAGGACATATAGAGGCAGCTGTAAAGTAGGAAAAATACAATGTGAATTTTTTTATTTTTGAAACAATAATTAAAACAAGTGATTTTAATCTTTGATAATGTAATTATTTAAAGTTTTTTTATAGTATTTAAAGATTTATATTGCGAATATTACAATAACCTTACACAATGTAACATAATAAAACACAATGACAACTCTACATAATCTTTCATAAATTTTCCACAAATATTATACCTACAAAGTTAAATGTTATTTAGTTTTATATATTAAAGTAAAACTACTAGGGATATAAAACAGGGAAATAAAAGCAAGTGCTTAGTCTTTAAATGTACCTGAAATTCCAAAAATATAATAAAAGAAAATTATTAAATATCTATGTCGATTAAACGATATATTCATTTTGTTTACAATTTGAACTGCCATCTTGATTTACTTACTTCATTTATTAATCTAATATGCTTCCAGCTACATATTTCTGTGCCTTTGAAAGTGTATTTTAATTAGCTAATGGATATTATTTCATTTGAATGCCGAAATCTTTTTGAATGCCTAAAACATTTTTAGAAAATTAACTGATCGTTAGACACAGTTTCTAGCAGATCATCCAGTATCACTGGCTGTGGTAAATGAGCGGATAGTTGTAGTTCATTTTCGTCGCACTAGAGCTGCACAATGGATGATCCGAAAATGGGATGGTCCGAAGACATGCCATCACAATTTTGATCCTCTGCAGAGGGGATGGCACCCCCGCTTCGGTAGACCGACGACTTGCACGTGAAGTCGAGCACTTTACGGTAGAACAGTTTATCAAGGACCAATACCGCGCACCCTCGGTCCCTATGCAGACTGATCCAAGTGGTCACCCACCCGCACACTGACCACATCCGGTGATGCTTGACTTCGGTGATCTGCTGTGAACCGTGTCTTATCGATCAGTCCACTGTGGGACAAATGAGTGGATAGAGAACCACTTTGATCAGTCTACGGAAGGACTGAGAGTGCGCGGTATTCGCAATCGCAACGCTTGAATACTTCATCTAGGGAGAAGGTCGGTTCCATATCTAGGCCCTCTCCTCAATTGTATACGGAATATACTATAATATTTTCCATTTTCATAATATTTTTCGTATTTAATTGTCACAAATATTTTTTAAAATTTCCAAGACGATTTCTTTTAGAACTATGTTTAATATAGTTTTCAGTTCCATATAACTTCCTAAACTAAAATCTTTTAATCTACTACTTACAAATGAAGAGAGAAATTTAAGTAATTACTTCTCCTATGACTTTCTACACGCTAATGGTGAAAGAATGCGAAGTGTTGCCATAGATAGGATTCTGCCATATGCCACCTACAGCCCATTTCGATCGCCAATTGGTTCTTATTAAATTTAATTGTTTCACCTAGTGCACAAGAGTTTATGCGTAGTTCATCCAGCTATCAAAACATCGAGAACTACGCGTAAGCTCCTGCACTAGATAAAAGAGTTTAACAAGAGCCAATACCGTGCACTCTCAGTTCCTTCATAGACTGATATTCCATCCGCTCATTTACAGCAGGCAGTGATACTTGACTAGAAATTGCGTCTTACGGTCAGTTTATTTTGTAACAAATATTCAAATGTAAAAACTGTCTTCGCATCTTCCTCATGGATGCTTGCCAGACCATAGCATTTTAAAGTGCCAGGTAAGCAAATTACTACTTCTCTCCCAAGAAAAATTATAAACGAAAGAAATAAAAATCAGTGGCATCCTTAAAATTGAAGTGTCCTGATTTTTTTCTTTTAAAGTTGGTATAAAATTGTTTTAATTTTATAAACATTTCTTTATAAAATAAAAAACAAGGAAACATTATAGTAAAATAGTTTACTTACTACTAAGACTTCTTTGAATATTAAATGTTTAAAAATTAAATTTAGTTTATAAACATTAAAATATTTAACTCTTTATTATATACTGTACGAAATAAGCGGAGCAAAAGTTAACCTTTTTCTGAATTTCAGCAAGATTACTACTTTTTTTCCCCCATTCAATAATCAGTAAATATGTATAGATAAATTAACTAAAAAATACAGCAAAAAGGCAATACTAGCCATAGAAGCTTTACTCTGACATGTCAAATAAAAATTAAAGCAGATATCTTGTCAAACATTTAGAAGAGAAAAACCGTTAATACTTGAACAAGTTTTTAAGTGGAACAATGCAGGAAGGCAACAAAATTGTAGTCATGCAACCTTAAAAATTAACACAAATAAATCCGTTTTGATCAAATGAACAAGAATGAGCATTCTTTTGAATGCTATCCTTTATGGCACAGCAAGTTAATAAAACATAGCTTAATTACCGGGTATAATTTTTAATGAAAACAAAGAGATAATTTTTCTTAAAATAAACAACTTTTTCTCCCTTCTTAAGAAACACTTGACAAAACTCTTTAAGCATAGATCAAATCCGGCACTTAGTTTTTTTTATGATGAAGTTCAAAAGTTTAATATTGTAAAGTAATTTTTAAGTTGTATTATGTAATTTTTCAATCATGTAGTTTTTGAACTAAAACTTTTTAAAAAAAATTCTTTGATCTGAAAGATATTTTTACAGAAAAAGTTTTTTTAAAAATAAATTTCATAATTCAAATAAAAAAAAGACATATAAATTTTTTTAAAAATAAAAACTGTTCTGAAATAAATAAAAAGTTTATACATAGTTAACAACTTAACCTGTGCTTTATACCAAAATCAGAAGTTTAAAAGAAATAGGATATTTTCTGATAAGCAACAATGTAAAGTAGCACATTTAGATTAATATAGAAGGAACTTTCAAAAATTTAATTTTCTTTTTCATCAAAAATTACTAGTCCAACAATTTTGAAAGAGCACTTTGGCTCTGTGTTTTTGAAAAGGACTGTTTAGGAAAGTTGTATAATTCTTTTTTAGCAAATGAGATAAAAAAAACTCAGAAGCTTTGGCATATATTTTATTTCCACCTAAAATACAGTTAATTTAAGAAAAAAAAAAGTTGTAATAAATAAGGGATTTAGAAATTTATATAAATTTTATGTTCATTACGAAAAAAAAAAAAAAACATTATGAGAAACAGACAGTTGAAATATATATTCATTACCTTTGTAATAGTTCCTTTTTATGTGCACATAAAATAGTAATATTGTTATTATTTAACAGAACAAACTATTTGTTTAAAAAAAATAGATATTTGTTTGTTATTGATTATTTTACATATTTTTCACTTTGAAAAATTAATTCACAAAAACATGTGTTCAATGTCTAAATTCACAATAGTTCTAAACCCATTCTCAAAATTACGTTTTCTAAATTTCATATTTACTAACCGAATTAATTAAAGAACAGAAACATTTATTTTAGATTAAAATTTAGAAGTGCTAAGGATCAACAAAATTCTTGTATTTTATTTCAAAGAATAATTGAATAGCAAAGATTTAAAATAAAACAAACAACAAAACCAGTTTTTAAATTATGTTTATATTTGTATATTACAGGAACTTATTCAAAAAAGTGTCATTTCCAGTTCTCAAAAACATTTATCACATTAAAAATTAAGCTAAAATATACATACACATTACAAAAATATCAACAATAAATTTGAGCATAACATGCATATCTTTACGAGCATAAGGTTAAAAACAGTATGAAAATTAACTATGGTTAAATAAACAAATGTATAAATTTTTTAAAGAAAATTATAAATTATGTTATTTTCAAAATATATGAACAAACATGTCATATTAATTTAAAATCAGATTGAAACAAACAGGCAAGAACAATACATGAATAAAACACCAATTATTTAAATAAAAACTACTGAAATGAACAGCTTCATAATATCAAATTAGTTACATACAAATCTCACACATAACGCTAACAAGATTTAATTATTTAAGGCAAAAATAGTTTGGCATTATCATAACTTAAATGATTTTATTAAAACAAAATTCCAGTCTTAAACGACTAATTTGATTTAATAATTTTTTTATAAACAATCAACAATAGTATTTTCTTTTCTTTTACGTAATATCATCAAAATCAGAAAAAAACCTGAATATTAAATAAATGGAAGACTAATAAATTAGCATTGAATAAAGTAGTGGTGAGATCATAACAATTCAATGCTTTGCAAAAGTACTAGAAATAACATTAATTAAAAAAATTTTTTATTTATTACATTAAAAAAAGATAAATGTACGTGTTAATAAATTAATATGCCTGTCACTCTTATTTAAAATTAAGGAACACAAATTGAAAAGTGATATAAAATGACTAGTTAGCAAGGAATAAAATCGGTAACGTTTTTTTTTCTTATACAGTAATTTGCGTTCACATACATATATATTACTATTACGTGATATAGAAATTGCAAATAATTACGTAAAATATATAGTGTCTTACACAATACAAGTTAATAACATCATTGACATAAAAACCTAACAATTAGTAGTGTTTTAATTTGGATATTGTTGCAACATGCAGTACGGCTATAAAATTTGAAGTCACATGAAACAGAGTCAACAATTTGGGGGTTATTATTAATTTATACTTGAATAGTTTAAAGCCAGACATTTTTCTATGAAAATTAATAATTTATTATTTACTGAAATGATAACCTTTAACCCACTGATTGTTCTGCACGTAAAAAGTCGTATTTTTAACCTGCAGTCTTCACCGCCGCATAGCATTTTACTAAACCGCCATTGGGTTAAAGAATTCATCTTTGATTTTGATTTGTAAACCACAGAAGTATTTATTTTATAGCATTTACCAAATAAGTCATTTCATGCTATTAGCCCTAAAAAAACTTTTTCTTAGCTTAAATTTTGAGACCCTATGCAACATACAATTTTTTCCCTTATTAAAACTTATTAGCAGAGGATATGAAATAACTTCTCTTCTACTTATGATTAATAGCCTTGAAAAATGCTTTTTAACTTCCACTAGAGAGGTAGGATTGTTATGAATTATTCAAACTGAGAGTTACATATTAACAAGCCTTTATCAAAGTTCTTATTTCAAAAAATGTACATAAAAAATGTTGGCAAGTAGGTAATTAAAATCAGTCTTACATCAATACACATTACGGTATCAATAAAATCTTTGGAAGACATGAAATCAAACAACATAGAAAACAAATAAATATTTAAAATATAATTATCATACACTTACTCAACTATGGTTCAAAAATATTTCATTTTTACATTGTTTGTTACAATGTTTAAATCGTTTCATGGTACTTATACATAATTTGTTCTGTTGTGAATATTAAGTACAGAAATATCAGATTTTTAATGCAAATATGTATTAAAATCTTATTTATAAACTTTTAATTTTAAGTATAGTTATATTATGAAGACAGTGTAAAATTAGAAAACACATTTTAACAAATGTTTTATGTATAATTATAATATAGGACAATCAAGAAAAATTAAAATAAAATACAAAGATGATAAAATCTACTTTGAAAAGTATTTATTCTAAACATAAAAAAATGCTTGAAAACAAGATCTTAAAACTAGTATTGAAAACTAATTAATTTACATTAATTTTATAAGAACACTGATCACAGGTCTAAAAATGCAGTGAACACTAAGCCATATTTTTTAAAAGTATGTCACTGAGAACTAAAATGCTCTCTTAAAGGTTTGAAAGGCATACTTGATGAATATAAATAAACATAACTATTATAACAATAACAACCAAGTGGTTTTAGTTGATTCAGTAATTAAATCATTCATTAGAAACATTTAATTTTAGGTATTAGAATTTTTGTACCAGCTGCAATTTCGAGTAAAACATACCTAATTTTCCAACAGTAATTAGAAAAAATTCTAATTCTAATGTGTGGATTTAAACAAGTAAAAATTTAAAATTCACTGATCATTTTAAAATACAAATATATTATAATTTAAAATTCTTTTTTTATCTTATCCCTGTCTTTTTGATCATATTAACAATATTTTAAAATGAAAGAAATTAAAAATGCCTGTTAAACTTTAACATAGCAATAAAGAATGCATTTTATTTCTTTCAAATATCATTAACAGTAAATCAATGAATTTGTATTTATTTCAGTAACGTTAAGATATGAATGAAATATTTGTTAGTTAAATACCAGTAATATTTGCTTGGATTTTACGTTTTGGCACATTAATATTTTTCGAAAAATTCTTTTTCTCTCATACATTAAAATGTAAGAATGTCTTAAACAATAATTTCAATTTTAAATTAACTAAAAAAATTATTAAAATAGCAAAAATCAGTGCAAAATGAGAGCAACATAATAAACAGTCAAACATTCTAATTTCCAAAAATTATAAAATACCAAAGTGAATCCTAACCGCAAGAGCTAATCTAATTTTTTTTTTAAATATACAGAAGAGGAAATGTTTTACTAGTATAGCTATACTACAAGAAAAATAAAAGAGATGATGATGATTGAAAAGAAGTGAAGAAAAATTACATTATGCAAAATGAGAACAAAGATTGTTCTTACAAAGCCCTTTTGCGCTTATCACATGAAGAAGAATGAAGCATTGGATCACAATAACAGTGGTCTTTTAATGATTTCTGATAGCATTGCTTCCTACATTTTAGTGTGCTAGAGGGATGATCACGCTCTAATTCTTCCTCTCCTTCAGAAGAACTGTCTTCATATTCTGGAATAGCTTCATCAGCATAAAAGTCAAACTGCTTGGATAGAGGAGCAATAAAGAAAACCTGGTTCTTTGTATAAAGTTCCATAATAGGATGTGCACACAATCTGTAATTCTGAAAAGTAAATATTAATAATAATAAAAAATGAATGACTTGCACTTCAACAGGAAAGATTGAAAAATAAGTTAAAGTTCGAAGAGAAATAAACAAAATTTAATTCTTTCTATTAAAAGACTAAATGTAAATTTTTTTTTCTTGTTTTCTACAATATTCTAACAGAATTTTAAAACTGCTTGTCAAAAGCTTTTAATTAATGTAGTTCCCTTTATTCAATTTAATATTTTACTCAATTTGATTTATGAATTTTCATTGCTTTAGCAAGAGCATATTATTTAAATTATTAAATTAGCATATTATTTAAATTTCCTTGTAATATCTTAATCTTAATAGTGTTTGCTTTTCTAAAGGTCACTTTCTTTCGAGGCATAAAGAATTTTTCAACGATTTTCATTAATGCAATTGTTTATATCTGAAAAAAAGCTACATTTTTCTTTTTGTTCTGTTGCAGTATATTTCATTAAAATTTTACGCCTTAGTCTTCCTGCAGAAAAAAAAAGGAATGTCATTAATTTTTTTTCACTTTTTTTCTTATTTGTTAATTGGAAAATATATTTTATGCACTTTTTTAAATTAACCAAGCTGTCAAAAATCCCAGGGCTCGAAGAAAGTTACAAATTTTACCCGCCCCCGAGGACGGCTTGTCCAACAATGTACCCGTCCTTCTTTGAAACTAACCCGTAGCTTATAATTAAATAAAATTATCATTTTCTCTTATTTATTACTACCATTTATATAAATTGCACAATGAATTAGTAGTTACTAGGATTACAAATACTAGGTTACTAATAGTAAAACCTAGTATGAAATAATTTAAATGACAAAGATCAAGTTATCTGGAATGTCAATTTATCCGAGGGTACTGCGTTATTTAAATGAATCAAATATGACGTTTGCCAGTTTCACAAACAAGCCAATGATTTACAGAGGTTTCTGCACAGAAATCTGAAACGGTTTTCCATTAGGTAGATTTTCATAATTGCGTTTAACGCTTCTTGTTTAAGACCAGTATGTAATGTGTTTTTTTGTAAGCTCATGGCTGAAAAGCCTCTTTCAACCACTGCAGTACTCCCAGAGAAAACATCAATTCCACCAAGCACAGTATGTTGCTGTATTTCTAGATGAGAGGATCATTTTAGAAGTGAGGCGCTAGACTCTTGTAAGATAACAAAAATTGAAAATGTATGACGAACATTAACGGGAAAATGGCCGTCCGCGCGGACTCGAGATATTTGTTGTCTGCAGGGAATTTTTGACCGCCGAGGACGGGCGGATGGGTGGTTTTTCGAGCCCTGAAAAATCCTTTTTTTGCCTTCTCCCTTGTGTTATTGCAATGAAGACTTCACATTTGGCTTGTTTAGGGCAATTTAGAGGTCAATTCCTATTTGTTACACTTCTCTAAAATAATTATTAAAAAGTAAATTTTTTACATTTTGAATGTTTTATTACTCTCTTGAAAAAAAGTCATGGTTTCATAGGTCAACCACAGTGCCATTAGGAAATCACTACTGTAACACTAAAATATATTTAATTTCTCAGACTATCAAGGCTAATAAATTTTTAGGTTAGAATCGAGCATTTAAAGTTAATTTTACAACTCATATAAGTAAGAGAGGACACATCAACATAATTTACTAACTCATGAGCATTTCACATTTGAGAAAGATTGTGCAGAAATTTCTCCTTCATACCCAAATTTCTGATTGAATAATAAGGCTGAAAACTGGTTTTTCAGCAAGGAAAATCACATATGAAAGGACCATATCAGGTGTGACAAAATATTAGTTGGTTAAACAAATACAGAAAGAAAAATTAATTTTTTTCATAAATAAATACCTTTAAATACTGTTTTAATCTAGGATAAACTCGATACACTGCCACTGCTAATGAATACTGGTTTCTGTAAGGAAATGATGAAACAACCGCATAATCAATAGCTGGTAAGACAGCAACTCTATAACCAGCTTGTATCAATTTACTGCAAAGATCATCCTCTGTGGAATCTGATACTACAACACCAATGGATGAACCTACCTGACTCCTTGTTTGCTATGGGAGAAAATTAAAATTATATTCATCTAACAGAAAAATAAATGCTATGTATTATTTATTCAATCAAAATTTGATGATATTTATGTGTAAATTAAATTTTTAATAAAATAATGTATAACAATGCACCCCGTGGTAGAATCGCGGCAACATTGTAGCAGAATGTTACAGAGTTCTTGCAGAAAGAATTTTCCTTTAGGAAGTTTAATTTTTTTTCTTCTTTTCTGCAGAAATTTTCAAATTTTTTTTCTCTAAATTTATATTTAAAAGATGCCTTTTTTGCACTTGGGAGGGGAAAGAAATGTTCATGATTTTTCTATTCTTATTTGAGAAAAATAAAGAATAATGGAATAAAAAATTTCTTTTCTGCAGAAATGTTGGTCGGATTTTTTTCTCCGTAATTATATTTAAAAGGCTCCTCTTTCGCGTATCAGAGGGAAAAGAAATGTTCACGATTTTCCTATTCTGATTTGGGAATTATGAAAAATAAAGAATAATGAAGTAAAAAAAATTTTGGTTTGCATTTTTACCGAAATTTTCATAAGATTTTTGTTCCCTCCAGAACTATTATATAACAACGTATATTATATAACAAACATTTCACTTCTCAATTTACAAAAGATTCCTTTTACACACGTTGGAGAGAAAAGAAATGTCTTAGTAACATGTATATTTGTCATTATTATAAGTATCTTGCAGTAAGATATTAGCGCTAGAGAGGTTTGTCGCAGAAAGTTCAAAAAAATTCTGTCACTGGGACAATGCAGTTGAAGACAAAGGAAATAAAAAGTGATAGCCCCACATTTTTGTAGTTTAAAGATAAGCAGGAATCAGTATTGTGTTAGAAACGTACACTACGGGAGCAAAATTAGAGGTCTTGTTGGATATAACTATTTAGAGTAGCAAAGTGAATTTCTTTATAAAATTTGGGTTGAACTTCTAAGATCATTAAAATAGTTTAGGAGTTTCAGCTTCTATTTAGCTTTAGCTTCTTAATATCATTTTTTGAAAATAAATTTCTTTTTATTGCATTTTTGAAGTTTCGTTTGAAGAGCAGGTTTAATTTCTCATATCATTTTATTTAGACGATCATAAATTTATAAGACAAATTCAAAACATAACAGAAGCTGATAGAATGATCCTATTCTGATATAATGTTCAACTATGTAGGCAAAAAGTTTCAATAGCCTCTTTTATTATCAATATCTTACAAGTGCCAATTTTATTTAGCTCTATATGTTTAACTACCCATAACAGTTTTTTCACTACAGCGCGAGAATCTCGCATATTTTTTTCTTTTCTCACATTAAAAAATGATTACTGCGAGAAATTTGCACATTCTATAAATCAATTTCAAAATTTTTGAATTTCGCGCATTTTAGAAAACGCTTCGAATTACGCCATTTAGAATAAAATCCGTTTCACTTTTCTTCCTGGATCTTTCATTATTTACAACATTTGCCCTGTTATCTAGCTTCCTTATTTATCAGTATTGTTCAGAACCGTTTCGAACAACAGAACACAACCCCTCCGAACCACGGAACTCCTTTCGGAACACATTTCTCTGCAATCACGTGTTTACCGTAGGTAAGGTTTTTTCATGTAAGACGTTCAAATTTTTTATGCACTAATGTAAGATGGTAATAGCAATATCTTCTATGATGATGCAGTAAAAATATTCAATGCTTTAAAAAATAGAAGACGTTAAAAATTTATTATATTAAAAGAAATGACTTTTTTTCTAAGACTATTTGTGTTTTTTTTAGTTTTTAGAAATCTCACTTAACTTTCTAAAATCTCACCCTGTTTTTGGGAAAGGGTGAGAAATTCTCACCCATTTTTTATCTATGATGAAAACTCTGCTATAAATAGTCAAACTTCCAGCTTCATAGATAGAGTTTTATTATTTACGGGAATAATATTTCAGACACAAATAATGCAAGATAGAGCACAACAACTCTGGTCAAATGTACTGATTCTAAGAAGTCTCTTTATGGTATCAGTAACAATTTTGCTCATTTCATGTTCCAAATTCATTACAATATGCAGTAAAATATTCCAACAGTTTTGAAAACTTACTTACTGAAATCTAACAAAAAATCTATTTTAATACAGAAAGATTAAATTATTGAACTGATAAATTTCAAACATACAGCTATGACAAATTTTTTAGATACTAATGTAAGGCAATGCATTCCATATCTTGTCAAATTCAAAAAAGCAGGAAAATTTCTGCATCATGATCTGAGTCAAAAATAATCGGTAAGTTTTGGCCACTTCTGGGCAGAGGCCCGCAAAAAACTGAAAAAATATACCACAGAAGGGGATCAATATGAAGGATATACCTCCTAGCTACACAGGACAATCCTTTGCATGTTATTGTTTTTAAAATGTGCACATATAAAAACTATTTGGTGCCTTGTCATTGAATTTGACAACAGATTACGATAAGGAAATATCCCCCCCCAAAACTGATTAAAAATGTATTTAATAGAAATTTATATTTTCTTAATAGTCACACTTGTAATACTAGTAGTATTTATAGCCATATAAGAAACATTTCTTATTTTTGTCAGGTTTAAGAAAATTAGTTAACATTTAGTGTGAAGACATTTATAATGAAAATCTTTTAAAATGATTTTGAAAAGATGATACAATTAAGTTAAGTTACAATATTCTTGTAAAAAAATTAAATTGTTTTAAATAAAAAGTGTGCTTGCTTTAAATTAAGCTGATTTAATTATAATTCACTTAATCAATGGCCTATAATTTGAAATATTTTCAAATGAAACATTATTAAATCAGATTGATGTTAAGTTGTGATAAAATAAAAATGAAGAATTTATAGCACTTTGGGGACACAAAATTTGCACTAATTTATTTTAACTACACTGTAAACTAAGGTAATTCCAATTAAATAATAAATAATTTTGTGGTAGACTAAAAAATTTAATTCAGTCAATATCGTGAATCTGATTATAGAAAATCATTGTGTGTACAGTAGACAGCATAAAGAACAGATGGTGTTCCTTTCATTTTTCTTGGGTAGAAATAATTCACTTACAAAAAAGTCTTCATGATAGATAGAAAAAGAATCCGAATCTGGTGCTATAGTTTGAATTTCTGAAAGCAATTCGCGAGATTTTGCGTAATTTTGAGTAAATTTATACAGTACTATCAAATCATTTGCGTAAGGCGGTCTAGTAACTTTTACTGCAACTTGATGAAATATACCATGATAATATAACACAAATATAATTATAAAAAAGAAGCAAGCAAAGCCTATTAAAATGCTATTGTAGTATGCTATAAAGTTTTCATAGGTCAGATAATCTTTAATCTCATCACTCAGCATCGCGCTACTAACATAAAATCATATATAAACAAGAGACAGAACGAAAAACGGACGAAAACAAAAAACTTATTTTGGTAAAAGACCGACGTTGCCATTAGTATTTATAAGTTTTGAAATAAAGCATATTTATTATACTAGTTTGAATATTAGCTTTAAACAAAAGTTTCCGAAGCTCTTAATTCTATATTATGTACAATATACTTTAAAAAAAATTCTCATTGCTAAAAAAGTTAAAACAAGGCCAAAAATAAAATATTGCAAAATTAAAAAATATAGAAGTATTGTAATGGCATCATCAACCTTTTATAAATTTACTTTCAGTTTGATGTTTTGTTTATGATAGTCTGCTACAAGATTCATGACCACGATTTAACTTTTTATTTCTTTTCTTGACATCATTTCATATCACGAGAAATCATGGCATTAAAAATATAAGAATAGATTTTAATCTAACGTCTGCTTTTAGTTTTGGGATCTAATTTTTTAATATTTGATGTTTTATTATCGAAATAAATTCTTCGGTACATTTATAAATAATACCGTTAGCATTAATTAAGATTCTGTTGATACTGCTCTAAGATTTTGCCGTTCTCTTATTTATGAGATGAAAATATTTTTGAAGTTACCATTTACGTGGCCTGCGATGGTTTTTACCCGTAAATTTGGATGTAAGTACCCCATTTATTCATGTAAATGTTCCATTAAAGCATTAACTTTTAATTTAAATTTTTTGTTTGACAATTTCTTCAAAGTTTCAGTAATGATTCGTAGAACTTTTTTAGTTTCAGGTTTACGGCCCATTATTTTATTCATCCTGGTGATGTTTGCATTTTATGCTACTACTTCGTTCTACTCTCTTAATAATGGTAAGTTTGAATACGCACCTAGTATAAAATGCATCGTGTAAACATTTTATTTGAATATTTTATTTAGAAGACAACTTATATAGATGACATATGAAATATTTAAGTAACATTGAAACATATTTCACTGATCAATAATGTCAAATGTTTGTAATTAAGTTCTAGTTGCATAAAATGCATTAGATTATTTATTGTTTCTTTGCATAATGATTTTTTAGTAGAAGACAATCAGTATAATTTATTTTGTGTAAGTGATTATGCATCTTATTATTTTTAGTATTTTATTTATCCTCTTTCTATAAATGTTTGATATCTGACTTTTTGATTTTTTCAACATGTTTATTTACCGCTTTTTCTTTTTTTAGAAAAAATTTCATCTTCGGAGCTCTTTAACGAAACAGGTTTGTGGTATCCATATACATTTTAGTCTGATTAAATGTAGAAGATTTAATTTTTGGTTATACAAACAGTTTTTATAAAAATTTAACACATGCTGTATTCATCTTACTTTTGTTTATTTTTATAAGAAGACTTATAATTAATTTTTTATTAGTATAGCAATCAAAATATTTCAATTGTCCATTTTTTGAATACTAGCACTTTTTAAGTTGAGTTTTTTTAAAAATGTAATTAGTTTCATCTTATGTTGGGAACATATCATTATAAGATCCTTATTGTTTTAATTTGTAAAGTCAACGTGGCAAAATGTCACTGGTGGCGAGGAAAATTTTTTATACACTTGAACTTGTAATAAATAAAAAATTGGACTATAGTGGATTACCAAGAGATAGCTTTGCAATTTTAACCTTAGAGTTTACCGTATTCTGTTATATGTTTTAGTTTTTCGTGGCCCGCCTTTCTGTTTTTGCCAAATCTTGGTGACTATTTTATTGTAGGACTTTAAATACTAATTCTTCTCTTATAATAAAAATTGCCCTCTTCAGCTGATTTGTTTTAAAATTATTCTATTGAGGATACTGTAGCCAAAAACTGGGCAGCCGCTGTTTATCATTTCTATAATTTCAGTCGATGCAGTATTCAGTTTAAAATCAGTATCTGATTCAAGAATTTTTTCTCATTTTAACTTAAAATGGTCCAAAAGCTTAGGATTCTTCTGGTATATTGTAAATTGATTTCAAATATATTATCCTAGATTTTGAATGCTTTTGATCACATTACTAAGTTTTAGAATTTTTTCATTACAATTTTGGATTTATTTACAGTTAATTTTTTTACATTAAAAATATTGCTTGTCATTGCTCAGTAACAGTTGAGAAGAAAATTTAGCTTTTGTTGTGAGGGAAGCCAAGTTCATTTGCACCAATTACAACCACCAAGGCTCCAAATGGATTTTAAACAAAAAAAAGAAAAAACACGTACAGGTTTGCCCGGGGTGACTAGGAGTTATACGCTTCGAGTTGGTCCTTTTCTAGAATATTCTTTTAGAGTCTCGCAGGATCCTCTGTTCAGAAGTTGCCAAAGTTTGGCGATTATTCTGTCTGTCACAGATCATGATATATAGAAATCATCCCAGAAAAGGATTGAAAATAAAAATGTTTTTTTATTTATTATTTTTTTAATAAATATAATTTAAAGCTTATGTTTTGTATTTATGCTAGATCAGTAGTCATTGAAGCTGTTTAATATAATTTTAAATGTTTTTCGTTATTTAAAAATATGCTTAAATTTTTATTTTTATATATTTTCAGTTAATTATGTGGAAACTCCAATAGCAGTTAATACTGAAACAACAAATGTAGAGATAAGAAAGCAACATGCTGTTCATGTTTATGAAAGACCTCATTTGATTAATGAGTGAGTTTGTATTTCCCTTTTTATGACAAAAAATTGTTTGTTGAACAAATAAATATGAAATATGTTTGAATTTTGTTTTAGGAAAAAAACAATTTATATTTTAAAATACATGATCAATATTAATTTCGAATAATCATATATGGCCAACTTTATGAGCTCCCTATTTTTATGAAATTTTTTTCACAATTTTAAAATGTGCTTGAAAAAGAAAAATGTATTTACACTTACAATTGAATAATGTTTCCATTAACAGAAAAATTTCTTTATGAACTATATAATGGCAAAACTCATTAATTACCAAGATTTTTTTGAACTTTATTTAAAAATAACTTCTGTGACGGAAATTATTTTTGTTGCCTATTAAAAAACAGGAAATAGAATCTAAGTCATTATCTATTTATTATAGAATCTCTCTGTTTAATCTGTAACAGAATCTTATATTTAAGTTAAATCTGCAACAGAATCTTATATTTATGTTAAACCTATAGCAGAATTTTTGACTTGTAATTGTACTTCGCAAGTTTTAAAACTATAGGTACAATTTATCAAAATTTTATCACATAAATAAAAATAACAACTGTGACTGAAGTTATTTTCACTTCGTGTAAAAAATCCAGAAAAGAGAGTAAGCTTTTGTCTACTTGTAATAGAATTAATAAAATATGTTAAAAGAATAAAATTAATCCTTGGTGGCACTTCATAAGTTTAGAAATCATACTGAAGTTCAGAATTCATATATCATATGTTTTTGATTATGTTGTATTTTTTAGGAGCTATTTGTATAGTACATATTATTTATTATGTGATATTTTATTATTATCTTTATGAAATATAAGCATTTATTTTTTAATTTTTTAAAAATTTCTTTGTAGAGTCTTATTATCTTAGATTTACTCTTTTTAATTTTAGAACTGTTACTGCTATTCACTCCATTCAAGTTGGTGATATTATTCCCAATTGTGGTTTCTCAAAAATTTGTAATAGTAATGAGTTTGTTGTTCATTTATATTCGGGAAAGGATCATAGTGATGAACCAAAGCTTTGTATTGATGGCAAATAGTAAGTATATATTTACCATAACAATGGCATTATTAGATAAGTTAATATTAGATGATCCAGAATATTATAGGATAAATTAAGATTGATTTTATTGATATATTATGTAATCATGCCTTAACATTAATAAGATATGTCATAAATATGTATTGATCTTATTAAGATTATGACATCGTAAAATATTATCCAATTTTTTTAAATGTCAAAATAAAGTAATTAAATCATTTTGGATTATTTATTAATCTTTTGAATAAACTCTTTCAAAAATTGAAAATTGTCAATTTTTAAATCAGTTTATTCATTATTATTTTTTGTGTGCTTAATCATAAATAACGGTCTAAGAGTTCAATAACTGTCTATACCTATGAAGGTATATTTTATGCAAATATAATTATGTGTTGTTTAGCTACAATAATATTTTAATTATATTTGTAAAACATTTTATGTAAGGTAAGGATTACTTGTGTGACATAACATATGCTGCCATATTCTCTTATTGAGATTTTGAATAATTTATCAAGATTAACTTTTTAAAATGTGATGAAAAGCATAACGATTTTTGTTTGTAAATAAATATGTTTTCTTTTTATTATTTGTTATAAACATTCTTCTAATAAACAACCTTAAAATTTTTATTTTTCAGTTGTATCTTAAATCAGATTATTCATTATTTTTTACTTTTTTGCTTAATCTTAAATGACTGTCTAAGAGTATCTGAAGGTATATTTTATACAAATATAATTATGTGTTACTCAGCTACAATAATATTTTAATTATATTTGTAAAACATTTTAGTTGCATAAGGTAAGGATGACTTCTGTGCGTAAGATATGTTACCATGTTTTTTTTTTTTGTAAATAAATATGTTTCTTTAATTATTTGTCATAAACATTCTTCTAATAAACTACATGAAAATTTTTATTTTTAAGTTGTATCGGAAATAAATTTACAATTTTCCACATTTCGTTAAGAATTTCGTGTGCTATCTAGAATAAATGAATACTACATAATTATGAATTGCTTTTAGGAGAGTAATGTGAAGTCTCATGTTTGTATGGCTCAAAATATATAAGGGGGAGTGAGGTAAGACTGAGTATTGCGATAAGACTGGGTGCCTCGATTGTGGGAAAATTAGTTTTGTTTTCTAGTAGAGAAATTCTGAATTATACTTTACTAGTCAAGTGTCACAATATATCTGAAGATCTCTTGTTTTTTTAAATTATTTTATTGGTCATTAGAATTACGAAAATAATTTTTGGTTCAGCTTATTATACGTTTACTGAAGATTTATATCCTAGAAAGCAATAGGAATTTTGTCCAATAGTAGTATTGTCCTCATTCATTTCAATAATCTCCATGCTTTGGGTAAGACCAGGTATTCTCTTGGTGTGCGTCTATATTGAGTCCACAAAAGCTGCGGTGCAGCAGAGGATGAAGACAGCTATATTCAAGGATAAACAAACGTCTTACAGGCCCCAGGACAAAGTTTATTGTGGGTCCTTTCTACAAAGCACAAGAAGCCTTATTTTCTAGAAATTTTTAAGTCTCTTTATACAAAATCGTAGTTTTTATATACATATTAAAAAATTCTCTGCAATTTCCTAAAAAAAATAAATAAAAAAATTATAAGAACTATAATTTTTTGTAAGGAATTTCGGCAGGACCTCAGTAGTCACTGGTCCCAGTCAGGACAATTTTCCTTTTTTCTCTTTTCTTAATTTTCTTAAATTGTCATATAAAATTTAAATGTAGGCTACTTTTTAAATTCTAGTACTTCTAAATTTCCCATAAAGTTAATGTGTGTACTTGGCTTAGCCCGACTAGTGGGGTAAGATCGGGGGATTTGACTTTTTCTAGAAAAAAAATCATTTATGAAAAACGTAGGACATCAATGACTCTTCAGGAATGATATTTGTACACTACTAAACAATAAATATCTTTTTTAAGTCTGACAGTTTTTAGGTTGAACAATTTAGCTCTTACAGGCTTTCGAATCTTAGTTACCCAGTGTCACCTCACTTTCCCCTATACATTTTTTGGAAATTAGTAGATTTCCTTCTATAAACTGCATTTAAAATTTTTACTTGCTATTAGTTCGTTTAAAATGCTGCATAATATGACACACAATGTCTTTGTTTTTGTTTTGAGCACGAGAAGCAAAATGATATCATAATGATAATTAAGGAGTTTTTATTTTGGTGAATTCTGCCTGCTTAAATATTTTATTTAAATTTCATGTTTCTTCTTTTTATAATGTGTAAAGTCTGCTTGTGCACAACTTAATTTTTTAATAAATATTTGGAACTGCAGTAATTCAAATATAATGTATATTTTTATTTTGCACTTTTTTAATAAATTTAAAAAAATAGAACAGCCTTATTTAAATATTCATTAACATTTAGTTTTTGCATGTATTATTATATAGATTCCTATTTCTTACAGAGTAAGCTACATAATGCTGATTTAATTATAAAAAAGCCATGTGTTGACTATTACATGTTGCAAAAACTTGAAATAAACCTTTTGGTTAAATTTTTAGAGAAATAAGAATTTTGATAGATTGCATTTGTTTTTGAAAAATTATGATCTTATTGTTAATAGGTAAGTATAAGTTTTAAAATATTTATTTAGGTAATTTAAGCTGAAATAGATATTTATGTAGTTAGGAGAGAAATGTTGCTTTTGGTTTATTGTGTTGCTAAAAAAAAGCATATGGATTTTGTAATAAATTTATTTGTTTATGATTACATAATAATTTGTATATTATGTTTTTTTTTACCTAAGTGTTCTTGGAAAAGATGTGAATGAGGGTGGCCGAGGTGTAAATGTAGCAGTTGTGGATAATATGACAAGGACAATAATTCGTGTTGTTCATTTCGATACCTATGAAAAAGGTGTGTATTAAGTTTTGAGCAAAAGTAATGAAATATACTTTAAAAAAATCTAGGTGCAATTTAAAATAATCATTTAAAATTTTATTTCTCTTTTACTTAACTATTCATCAAATATAACTTATGTTCAATGCGTGTTTACAATACAAGAATTGTAAATACGAAAAGGATTTGATTAGTTTGGATTCTTAGTCTTTCTAATAAATTTATCCACTTACTGTTTTCACTTTATGTACAACCTTGGTTAATTTTCTGCTCAGAAAAGCTGTTTTCTTATCTTGTTATTCAATGGAACATGACAGAGAAATTGAAAAAATTTCTTTATGAGATCTTGTAGCAAAATGGAATTGCTCTAGAATAAGTGGCATGCAAAAAAAAAAAAAAAAAAAAAAAAAAAAAAAAAAAAAAAAAAAANGAAAAGAAAAAAAAGGCTTTCCGGAAGGGAAAATCTTAAAGGTGACCACTAGTTGCCTTTAATCTAATTATCTAATTTATTGCAAAAAAATCGAGTAGTAGCAGTCTGGAAAGATCAAGATCCAATGTGAGAATATTCCGAGGAAATTTTTTAATACATTTGTCATATAAATTTGTCCACATTGGACTGATCGTTAAACACAGTTCTCAGTTAAACATTGAAGTCAAGTATCATTGGCAGCTGTCAGTGATTAATACAATTATAATTAATTTTCGAAATGTTCAAACATGCTTTTTCTACTGAAGTTGTTCCTTTAATTTTATTGGTTTTATGTGCAGATTGTATAACTTAACTGTATCATATACAAAATTAAGTTATTATTTTGTATATTCAGATTCAATTCTTTTGGAGACATTGCTTTTGACACTAAGACCTGGAGATATAGTGGTTCTGATGACTTTTGATGAACCATCTAGAAAGTATGTTTTATCTTCTGATTTTGGATGTAGTTTCAAGTTGGGATACTTGAATTTTTAATGTTTGAATGTCTTTGGATGTTAATAGTAGAGTTACAGAGTATTTTTAGGTCATTAGACTAAATTGCTTTTATATTTTAAAATTTGAATCTTCAATTATTTCAATTGACTAGTAAACTACTTAATATAAAGCAACTTAGGATTTTAAATAATTGTTTCATTTTATTTAAAAATTTCTGGCTGTAAATTAAAAGGACTTAAATATGATTAAATTATTTTTTTATAAAGTGTTGGTCTTAAAACTAAAATAGTTATTATTGAAAAATAAGATGTTTAGTTATATATTTAGTAAATTCAATATCTTTGGCTCAACTGCCCCTTGTGGGCAATTGCCTATAAATTATATTCCATGTTAACTTGTTTGCTATGTTAAATAATATTTTTTAAAAATGCTGCAAAAAATTGTATACCTTTCAAGTAAAAATTTTTTCCACCATTAGTAAATAAAATAATAAAAAATAACAAATACTTAATAAAGGCTATTTTTTACATGGTATTATCTTTGGATAAAGGGATTTTATAATTGCGTGCAAAAATCTTTCAATTCTATTGAAAAGTTCTTGAGATATAATGAAGTACGTAGAAAACAAAATTAACATTACAAACTTTGGAGCTGGGACCATATTTTCCAGATTGTGGTTATTCCCTATATTTGGGGGTCAGAAATCCGAATCTGTTGAAAAAAAGGTTTGTTCATTTAGAGAAAGTACGTTGTGTCTGATTTCATAACTAAAGTATCATTTGTACTTATTGATTTGCATATTTAAGATCATCCCTTTTGAACCTTTAAAATTGTGTCCTAGAACATGAAGATCGAATCATTAGATCAAAAGTTATTCAGGGTGGTTTGTTTTTTATTTTGTGCACTGTACATCTAGTAGTAAAACCTCCTTCATATACTTGTGATTTGATTTTTTTTTTTTGGTTTTAATTTAATTTAATTTAATTTAATTTAATTTAATTTAATTTAATTTAATTTAATTTAATTTAATTTAATTTAATTTAATTTAATTTAATTTAATTTAATTTAATTTAATTTAATTTAATTTAATTTAATTTAATTTAATTTAATTTAATTTAATTTAATTTAATTTAATTTAATTTAATTTAATTTAATTTAATTTAATTTAATTTAATTTAATTTAATTTAATTTAATTTAATTTAATTTAATTTAATTTAATTTAATTTAATTTAATTTAATTTAATTTAATTTAATTTAATTTAATTTAATTTAATTTAATTTAATTTAATTTAATTTAATTTAATTTAATTTAATTTAATTTAATTTAATTTAATTTAATTTAATTTAATTTAATTTAATTTAATTTAATTTAATTTAATTTAATTTAATTTAATTTAATTTAATTTAATTTAATTTAATTTAATTTAATTTAATTTAATTTAATTTAATTTAATTTAATTTAATTTAATTTAATTTAATTTAATTTAATTTAATTTAATTTAATTTAATTTAATTTAATTTAATTTAATTTAATTTAATTTAATTTAATTTAATTTAATTTAATTTAATTTAATTTAATTTAATTTAATTTAATTTAATTTAATTTAATTTAATTTAATTTAATTTAATTTAATTTAATTTAATTTAATTTAATTTAATTTAATTTAATTTAATTTAATTTAATTTAATTTAATTTAATTTAATTTAATTTAATTTAATTTAATTTAATTTAATTTAATTTAATTTAATTNAATGAAAGTAAATAAACAGAGCATCGCGAAGTTCAGATACATCGTTGTCAAGGAGACCACGTAATCAGAGTTCGTCCACAACATGCATATGCACATTGATAGGAAACATTAAACTGGTGCTAACGCCGTTAAGATTCATATACCGCATAAAAATAATTCGCACAAAAAAAATCGCACAAAAATAAAATCGCATAAAACCAATCGCACAAAAACAGAATCGCATAAAAAAGGACCGCACAAAAACAGGTCTCACTGTATTTATGTAGTTAGGAGAGAAATGTTGCTTTTGGTTTATGTTGTTGTTAAAAAAAAAGGATATGGTTTTTGTTATAAATTTATTTGTTTATGATTACATAATAATTTGTATATTATGTTTTTTTTTACCTAAGTGTTCTCGGAAAAGATGTGAATGAGGGTGGCCGAGGTGTAAATGTAGCAGTTGTGGATAATATGACAAGGACAATCATTCGTGTTGTTCATTTCGATACTTATGAAAAAGGTGTGTATTAAGTTTTGAGCAAATGTAATGAAATATACTTTTAAAAAAATCTAGGTGGAATTTAAAATAATCATTTAAAATTTTATTTCTCTTTTACTTAACTATTCATAAAATATAACTTATGTTCAATGCGTGTTTACAATGCAAAAATTGTAAGCATGAAAAGGATTTAATTAGTTTGGATTCTTAATCTTTCTAATCAATTAATCTTGGTTAATTTTCTGCTCAGAAAAGCTGTTTCCAATCTTGTTATTCAATGGATAAATTGAACATGACAGAGAAATTGGAAAAATTTCGTTATGAGATCTTGTTGCAAAATGGATTTGCACTAGGATAAGTGGCATGCAAAAAAAAAAAAAAAAAAANAAAAAAAAAAAAAAAAAAAAAAAAAAGGGCTTTCCGCAAGGGAAAATCTTAAAGGTGACAACTAGTTGCCTTTAATCTAATTATCTAATTTATTGCAAAAAAAAAATCTAGTAGTAGCAGTTTGGAAAGATCAAGATCGAATGTGAGAATATTCCCAGGAAATTTTTTAATACATTTGTCATATAAATTTGTCTACATTGGACTAATCGTTAAACACAGTTCTCAGTAAGCATTGAAGTCAAGCATCATTGGCAGCTGTCAGTGATTAATACAATTATAATTAATTTTAAAAATGCTCAAACATACTTTTCCTACTGAAGTTGCCCCTTTAATTTTATTGGTTTTATGTGCAGATTGTATAACTTAACTGTACCATGTACAAAATTAAGTTATTATTTTGTATATTCAGATTCAATTCTTTTGGAGACATTGCTTTTGACACTAAGACCTGGAGATATAGTGGTTCTGATGACTTTTGATGAACCTTCTAGAAAGTATGTTTTATCTTCTGATTTTGGATGTAGTTTCAAGTTGGGATACTTGAATTTTTAATGTTTGAATGTTTTTGGATGTTAATAGTAGAGTTACAGAGTATTTTTGGGTCATTAGACTAAATTGCTTTCAACAGCATTTCAAAATATGCAACAGCTAAAAACATTTAAAAATATTTTTTAAATGTTTTTAGCTTTTGCATATTTTAAAATTTGGATCTTCAATTATTTCAATTGACTAGTAAACTACTTAAAGCAACTTAGGATTTTAAATAATTGTTTCATTTTATTTAAAAATTTCTGGCTGTAAATTAAAAGGACTTAAATATGATTAAATTATTTTTTTATAAAGTGTTGGTCTTAAAACTAAAATAGTTATTATTGAGAAATAAGATGTTTAGTTACATATTTAGTCAATTCAATATCTTTGGCTAAACAGCCCTTTGAGGGCATTTGCCTATAAATTATGTTCCATGTTAACTTGTTTGCCATGTTAAATTATATTTTTTAAAAATGCTGCAAAAAATTATATACCTTACAAGTAAAATTTTTTCCACCATTAGTAAATAAAATAATAAAAAATACTTCATAAAGGCTATTTTTTGCATGGTATTATCTTTGGATAAAGGAATTTTATAATTGTGTGCAAAAATCTTTCAATTCTATCAAAAAGTTCTTGAGATATAATGAAATACGCAGAAAGTAAAATTATCATTACAAACTTTGGAGCTGGGACCAAATTTTCCAGATTGTGGCTACTCCCTATATTTGAGGGTCAGAAATCCGAATCCGTCGAAAAAAGGTTTGTTCATTTAGAGAAAGTACGTTGTGTCTGATTTCGTAACTTGAAGTATCGTTTGCACTTATTGATTTGCATATTTGAGGTCACCCCTTTTGAACCATTAAAATTGTGTCCTAGAACATGAAGATCGAATCATTAGATCAAAAGTTATTCAGTGTGGTCTGTTTTTTATTTTGTGCGCTGTACATCTAGTAGTAAAACCTTCTTCATATACTTGTGATTTAATTTTTTTTTTTTTTTTCTCCCAGGAATTTCTATTTTTTGCAAAATGTTCATTTAGCATTCAATTTCACAGCTTTTCATTCGTTTTAAACATTGTATATTGAAAACTTAATGTATGATTCTATTTTGAAAACAGACTGTCCCGGATTGCTAGATTGCTATTGTATGATCTTGGCAGTGCATTGATTCAGAATTTGAGTTATAGGGGTAGTTGGTATTTAATTACTCAAAAAGGAATATCAGGTTTTTCACCATTTGAGGAGGTAAGTATATTGTTACATATTATCTGAAATTATTGTTTGGTGTTTTAGGGTGTTTTGAGAGGTTTCTCATAATAGTATTTTTGTTAAATAGCTTCACTTTGTAGACAGTAGTGGATGGCCTAAACACCATGATGTGAAAATTTGCGTTCCTTTTGAAAGTAAGTGGTTAATATCCATATCAGAAAAACAAATGCTTGTTTCTTATAATGTTTTATTATTTTTTAATAAATCAAATGAGAAATGTCAAATAAGAATATATAATCAAATAAAATATCAAATCAAATGAAAATAAAACTTAGGGTTTAAAATCTAATTGTTATTGTATTAAGAGTATTAATGTTTGCATAAATTTTTCTTCTTGTAAGTACATATTTTATGCCTCCTTTCTTAAAATATGTTTTTTTAGGTTATAAATTAACTAAATTTTTCTGTATAGATTCCTTTTTCTAAGTTAAAAAAATTCTTATATTGTGAATTAATTTCTGTATATAGTAGTAGCTGTACTCAAATGTTGCTAAATTAGAATAATTCTAAGATTTTATTGATGTTTATGTAAATATTGATATAGCCTTACACATGTCTGTATTACTGCTTTGAGAATGCATTTAACATTATTGTAAATGTTGAAAATTTTACAAAGATATATATTGTTTTATGTTAAATAAATTTATCAGTTTTAAATTATAAACTTGAGTTTAATTTATTGTTACAACAAAAATTATAGAAACAGTTTATGAAAAAGAAATTGTGAATATTTATACAACTTAAATCAAACTTTAATCTTGTAGCTTTCCTGTAAAAAGGAGAAATCTAATTGTTTAGTTAGTTCTAATTGTTCTGTGTGTGTGTATATAAAATTGTATATGCTAATTAAAATGAAGAACATTAAAATTTTCTCAGTCTTTATCATCAAATTTATTTTTTAAAATTTTCTAATTTAAAGTTACTATATGCTAGTTTTAATATTAGTATTGATTCCATTTATTAATTACTAAACAATTATTTTTTAGTTAAAGGTACAGTTGTTCACCCAGATCCATTGCCTTCTAGTAACCAAATAAGAGTAGAGTTTTGTGAAAAGCATGATGACTTGCCTCTTTTTTGTGATGGTATATAAATTCAATATTATTTGTTTTGTTTAGTCATTTTTCTGTTTAGTAATATATCTTTCTGATTTCATTTTCTTTTATGAGCGTTTTAGCTCCATCTAGATTTGAACTTTGGAACTATCTTGTCTTCAGGAAATAAGACTTGAGACTAATAAACAACTAAAGAAAACATTTATTTAAGTTAAACAAAACATTCCACACGCCCAGCGTGCTCTCGTTCGATACAGCTAGATGTTGAAGAAAAATGCATAGAAAAGCAATTATCGAATTCTTGTCGTAACATTTATACTCTGAACCACTTCAGTTCGCTTCACATAGTGATCACAGCGACGCCGCAAGCAAGCCTGTTAGTATTTCCTGCCATACACATTAAACTTATTAAATTTTATTTTTTATCCACCTTTTGTTTAAATCACTTCTGTTCTGAGAATTCGTTATTTTAATTACTTTCTAACTAAACATTTTGATTTTTTTTAAAGTTTTGAAACTTTATTGTCTTAAAAATTAACATAATGCTTCTGCACAAAAAGTGAAAGAGAGAAAAAAAAATATTTTTCTTATGTGTATCAAGCTCAGTAGAGTCTTGATAATTCGAGGTGGATGGAACCAAGCTTACCTCAAACTTTCAGAAACTCGAGTTATCGGAAACTTGAAATTTAATAAATATTTAAATGAATAGAAACATTACTGCATCATATCAATTGTGCTTTAAAATAATTTTCTTGTGTTTTTCGTTTCAACACACTATTCACATTTTTCAGTGTTTAATACGATATAGTTTTTGGACATCCAGGTAGTAGTAATCATCGTAAAATCATTCATTGTTGTGTTTGTGTTGGTTATTATTTGGAAGCAAGACTGACTTTTTTTCTCCACGTCAGGTTTATGAGAAAATCGAACAACCGAGGCTCAAATTATCAAGAGTCAACTGTATATCAATTCAAATTTTAAATTTACATGTGTTTGGTCTATGTAGTTGTTAAATTTCTAATAGTATTTAATTATATAAATAAAAAGTTTTGGCTATGAATTTTATATTAAAAGACTTTTGATGAAGAGGAAACAATTTCAGTTTTTAGTAGAAGTAAATAACAAGAGTAAGTAATGTTTTTTTTACTCTATGTATGGGTCTAATGGTATAAATGTTTTACACTTTTTTTTCTTGGATTGTGACTTCAATTTCAGCNCGGGTCACCACTTGTAGGTTCATCTGGTGAACGCTCTGGAACAATCCTGTATTCCGAAAATAAGACTTGAGACTAATAAACAACTAAAGAAAACATTTATTTAAGGTAAACAAAACATTCCACACTCCCAGCGTGCTCTCCTTCGATACAGCTAGCTGTTGAAGAAAAATGCATAGAAAAGCAATTATCGAATTCGTGTCGTAACATTTATACTCTGAACATCTGCACCACTTCAGTTCGCTTTACATATAGTGATCGCTACCGCAGCGACGCCACAAGCGAACCTGTTAGTATTTCCTGCCATACACACTTATTAAATTTTACTTTTTATCCACCTTATGTTTAAATCACTTCTGTTCTGAGAATTCGTTGTTTTAATTACTTTCTAACTAAACATTTTGATTTTTTTAAAAGTTTTGAAACTTTATTGTCTTAAAAATTAACATAATGTTCTGCACAAAAAGTGAAGGAGAAAAAATATGTATTTTTCTTATGTGTATCAAGCTCAGTAGAGTCTTTATAAATTGAGGTGGATGGGACCAAGCTTACCTCAAACTTTCAGAAGCTCGAGTTATCGGAAACTTAAGATTTAATAAATATTTAAATGAATAGAAGCAAGTTTTAAATTTTAGTATTTAATTGAAAAATATTTTATATTTTAAGAGAATTGACTTACATTAGAGGATCAAGGTACATTTACTATGTTAAACCGAGTTACAATATTCATTATATTACTGCATCATATCAATTGTACTTTAAAATAATTTTCTTATGTTTTTCGTTTCAACATACTATTCACATGCTTCAGTGTTTAGTTTAATACAATATCGTTTTTGGACATTCAGATTTCTCAACATTCAGTTGTAGTAATCATCGTAAAATCATTCGTTGTGTTGGTTATTATTTGGAAGCAAGACTGACTTTTTTTCTCCACCTCAGGTTTATGAGAAAATCGAACAACCGAGGCTCAAATTATCAAGATTCTACTGTATATCAATTCAAATTTTAAATTTACATGTGTTTGGTCTATGCAGTTGTTAAATTCCGAATAGTATTTAATTATATAAATAAAAAGTTTTGGCTATGAATTTTATATTAAAAGACTTTTGATGAAGAGGAAACAATTTCAGTTTTTAGTAGAAGTAAATAACAAGAGTAAGTAATGTTTTTTTTACTCTATGTATGGGTCTAATGGTATAAATGTTTTACACTTTTTTTTCTTGGATTGTGACTTCAATTTCAGCTTTTCACATAATTGCGAATTTTAATGAAATGTTTTATTCGTTTACTGTTTATTGTTATTCTCGCTTACCATTAATTACCTTTTTTTGCATTGTTTATGCAATAAATATTTAATACTATTATACTATTTAATTGTATAATTTATTTATACAATTACTCCAGTACTTAATTGACACATTTATTAAAATACTACTTAACTGACACATTTACTATACTACTTAATTGATACATAGATTAACATTTTTATATTTAGCTGATGTTGTAAATGATCCTTTGCTGCCAGCTCCAGTTTGGAAGCAACCTTCCTCTATAAATAAAATCTATAATGTACCCATTATAGTAATGAGTGGTAAGATATAATCAATTATATAATTGTGATTTTTTTTTTGTAAAATTCAATTTTTCAATTTTTTTTTATTATTATCTATGCAATAACTTGATTAATATTTGTCTGGATTATTTATATAATGGAATGACCTAATTATACACAGGAAGGTTTAAGTCACATTTTTTCCAAAGATGGAATTTTTGATTCAAACTATTTCTAATTATTAATTCAAGCAACTACATTACAAATTCCCAGAATTTTTGCTACACAACAGCATGGTACATGTAAATATCTTGTTGCCTACATGGAAATTGTAAAGTTTTCAAAAGAATTCCCTGCTGAATAATTGTAAAATGTGGCTTGTCAATACATCTCCCTGAGCTCTTCTAATTAACTACTATGACATTCTCAAAATGGTTTATCGAACAACTTAATGTAGGACTCAAAGAAAAACTTAATAATGAAATATAAGTAATCTTAAAATAGCAGAAAGTGTTTGGAGAACTGTTGCAAGAATTTATGTACTATAACAAATATGGTGTAATTCGGTTGCCAACCATAAAAACAGAAATGAAAAAAATTGTTGGCAATTGTTTATAATAATAGTAATTTTAATATTATAATGGTAATAATATTAAAATTTTTATAGAAAAATGTTAGTTAAATAATTTAGGAAGCATTGTTAAAATTCAAACAAGTTTTAAGATTAAAAAAAAATGATTTATCATATTTATAAAGATATAAAAGTCATAAATCCTTCTCATAAAAGAAAAAACATTCATATAGAAAGAAAACGTATAAATTTCTTTAATTTGAATCACTGCATGCAGTTTTTTAAACTATTTTTTGAGAAATTTGAAAACATCTGCTCCCTGCTATTGGTTCTAAAAATCTGAAATAGGAGAGTTATATTTATGATCAAGTTTTCTAAAATGCTTTTAGTTTGAATATACAAAATTTTAAATAATAATGTACTGAAATTAAGATGCTTTCTGCATATGTGTAGAAAAATTCTGGATTTCTTTTTACTTATCTTATGAGAAATATAATATGATATATATCACCATTTTTTAGTTGATGCATGATGTATTTTAAAAATTGAAGAATTTCTTTATCCTTATTAAATTATGAGAGAGAGAGAAAAAAAAAGAGTTTCATTCTCAAATATTTTTTTTATTGAAGTAACTTGTAAGTCATCAACCATTTTACTGTTGGGATATTAATTTGAATCATATTTTTGTTTAATATTTTTCCAGATCACAAAAATTGATTGAGGCATATCTTTTACCTATACTATTTTAATGGGAATTCTTACTGCAAGATTTTTCTAAGAGGGAATCATTTTTAAGTTTGCCTTCATGTTTTTGGTTGCCAGCATGTCCTAAAATCTCACATCCTTTAATTTTATGTCGAAACTTATCACAAAATGAACCATTTCTTTTCTATTAACTACCCTAAAGGAGGTGCTTTAGGATATATATGTACTTTTAGAATGCATTGGGTCTGCAGCATTTAAAATTTATCACTTTACTAGCTCCACTTACTTTCAGACCAATTTTACCATATTTGCAGCTAGCCGTAACCATTCCAATTACTTATATTGCATAAATTCTATCATGAGAAATCATATTTGTTTCCTTCCTGAAAATTGATCAGAATCCCTAAGAATTAGTTAGAAATTAAAAAAGTAGAGTTTTTTTTTATTGAGAAGATAATTTTTTTTACTGAGAAGTTTTTTTTTATTGAGAATATAATAGCATCATACATCTACAACATCATAAACTAAGAAAATACTTTATCAGGTAATGAAAGTTGTAATAATATACTACTGTGAAGAAGAAATTTTTAAGGCATTGCTGACCGAAAGTGTTTCAGCTTACCACTAAAGCATTAACTAATCCCTTATTCTACCCTATTTAATTAATAAAATTAATTACTTTAATTGCTATATTATATGCTCCATCTTATGTACTAAAGCCTTTATCTAAATTTTGACAATGCTCTTTTAGCATACAGTAAATACTAAAATTCTTTCGGCATACAGTAAATGGTAAAGCTCTTTCGACATAGAGTAATTTATTTGATTAAGTTTTGTTTTTAATTTTTGTTTTTGAGTTAAATTTTTTTTGGAGCTACATGTAGAAGACTCTTGTAAATTTAGTTTCACAGAATTAAAAGAATTATTTTGAACATTTAATTAAGGTCTTCAAATAAGCTTTATTTGTACTCTCCTGGCTTTGGTATTATTATAAGAAGCACCTTATATTTAATTTATTTTACTCTTATGTGCAAGTCTTTAAAATTTTAAATAAAAATATTTAGCTTTGTGAATTACCTTGTATAAAACTAAATTTTCTTTAAAACGAGTCTTTTTTTTAGGTGAAAATGTTCAGTTTTTGCCATTAACTCTTGAAACAATCATACATCAACCTGGCATAAAACCTTCCATTGTTGTGGTGAGAATTCTTCAAATTTAGAAATAGTTTTGAATTTTTATGTTTAACTCCTAAATTTAGTTTTAAACTTAATGGATTTAGTCATACACATAGCTATTTGTTGAGAGTTATACTATTAAAGAATTTTTTTTAAATATTTCTGTTAAACTTCTAAATTGATTTTTAAAAATAATTAATTAATGTACAGCCATGTATTGAAAGTTATATTATTTATGAAACATTTTTTAGTTTTTATGTTGAACTTAAATTTTTAAAAATAATTAATTTGAACATAATTTTTGCAATATTTTTGTCTTATATGCTTATATTAGATTATTGTTGTAACATTTCATTTGTTTCTATGTCTTTGCAGGTCTTCCACTTGGGTAAAAATTCTATGGTGCAAAGCTTATCTGAACTATTTGGATTTCTTTCAGAAGAATTAACTGAAACATCAAATTACTGTGGTAATATTTTACACATACATAATCATGTGATTTATATTAGAATGTTGAAATGTTTTTTGTTAAAATGTATTTTTGTTTTAATTTTCAGTAGCTAATATAACAGGGTGGCCACCCACCTGGAAAACCTTGAAAACCTGGAATTATCAGGGAATTTTTTTATACTGGAAAAAACCTGGAAATATCAGGGAAATTTGGATAAAAACCTGGAAAAATCAGGGAATTTTAAAGAAAAGCTGGAAATTTTTCNCACATACATAATCATGTGATTTATATTAGAATGTTGAAATGTTTTATGTTAAAATGTATTTTTGTTTTAATTTTCAGTAGCTAATATAATTTTAATGTGTAAATGTATATTATTTTAATATTACCTATACATAAAGTAAGGAAAGAAAAAAAAAGTTACAAATACCACTGTATTTCAATTGAAATTCTGCAATTAATACTCATCTGTTTTTGCAATGTAATTTTCTAAATGAATCCCTCTTTTCTTTCAATATATAACGCAGGAAGTTAATTGAAAATTATACTGCAGTGTTTAAAATAAGTTGTATATTTGAAATTCGATTTCTAGGGTGCTATTTGATCAATTTCATTTAACTTTTGTTCTTTACTTCATAAAATTAACGTTCTTTATAATGATATAAACATTCTTATATCTTATAATTCAAATTTTTTTCACTAACTAAAATAATAAAATAATAATAATTATTAAAAATGATTTTTTTCTTGGATTTATCTTTGGGTAAATGCATAGGATAAATGAATTTTATAATTACGTGCAAAATTTTTAACTTGCCTAAAAAGTTCTCAAAGTATAGTGAAATACACACGAAATAAAATTAACTTAAAGATACTTAAATTTTTAACTGTCCTTCTGTCCAAACTATTGGGAATTTATTTCCCAGATTACAGTTATTTTCTATATTTTAAGGGTCAGAAATCCAAATTCATTGTAACAAGGTGGTATGTTAATTCAGCGAAAGTAAGTTTTTGTATCTGCTTTCCTAACTTTAAATATCATCTGCACTATCAATTAGAATATTTGAGGTCACCTTCTCAAGCTATTAAGATTGAGTTCTAGTGCATGAACATCTGCTATTCAGAATAATTTTTTCCCACTGTGCACAATAATGCGTAAGTTTTACACTGAGAAGTAGATGCAATACAGAATGACTAAGTATTGCATTATGCAAGTAAATACTTCGAAATTGTATGTATGTTGCAACAATTTTTGGACTTTTTAGTTGTAATATTTATTCTAATATGCTGATTTTCTATAGATTTAAAATAGATGAACAGTGCTTGAAATGCTATTCAACTGTTCAGTAGTTAAAAACTAATTCACTGAAACTTAACCATTATTTAATTCAACTATCACAATATACTGAAATTTAGTTAACTTTTAATAGTTGTTAACTGCAAATGTAAATTTATGTATAATTTCTGAAATAGTTATATTACAATCTATGTATAATCTTTCTCTTTTATGAAGAAAGTCCATTTGATCATCTGTGTAAGACTTTTCTGTCGATATTTTTAATCTTTTTTTATTTAATATTTTTAAATTTTTTTTATAACTCTTTTTCTGTAAAAATATTTTTCTTAACTGTCTTTTTTTATTCTTGTTAGGTGTTGATAGTAATTTCATTGTTCCAGATTTTATTGTTTTTACAAAGCCTTAATTTTTGCAAGTATTTTCAATCATTATAATATATAGTACTTTACTTAAATTTTTTAAATGTCTTAAACTTTGCCTTTTCTTTTACATGGAATAAGTATTCTCTTCTTTTGTAAATTACGTCAAATTTTAGGTAAAGAAATCTGCTAAATTTTGACTTTACAGTCCAAAAATGTATCTAGATAAATACATATTTTAACGTATCTTATCTAGTAAAATATTGATTTTAGGTTTGCTTTATTTGCCATCTTTCCGTTTGAGATAGTTAAATACTAACTTCTTCAGTGTCAGATACTAAACGCCGCAGAATCAACTAACTTGTCATTTATCAAAATCTCATTATTTTTTTTGTCTAATAATTATAATTTTAAATCTATTAATATTTCTGATTGTAATAATCATAAATTATTATTTTATTTTGTTATAAACATTTTATTATAAGTATTTTATTCATAAAATAAGTATCAGTATATAATTTTTGAAAATCAATTACGATTTATATTGCAAATAAGGTATTTTTTGTCGCAAAAAATTTACTTTTTATTTGCATTTAGGCATCTCTTTTCAAAAAATTATTGGCTGCATAAATATTGTTATTTAAAAATTAATTTTGTAAATAATATGCATATTCATTTAAAATAAATTTTGTATGAAGAGAATAATTTTAAGTTTTTTGTTCAATCAAACATGTAAGTTATAAACATTTGTTTAAGTTGTTTTTAGAGATTATTCTCATATTTTTTTAAATTTACAGAACAAATATCTTTTGGGAATCAGAATCAAGCAAATTTGTTTATTAAAATGAAAACTTGAATAAATAAGTAAATAAAGAAGTAAATAATGAAGAAATAAATAAAAAATAAACTAAAATAATATCTTGAAAACAGACTTCACAACCATGGGATTCATAATAAACATAATAATTGAATGATTTAGTAATGATTTTATGTATATACTCCCAAAAAAAACTTTATTTATTACTTGTATCTATGTATTACAAAATTGACTCGAGATGACTTTTTTAAAATTCTCTAACCAAGTGTGTAATCTCGTAATAAAATTGTCCATATTTTTTCTTAGTAATCTGCTGTTTTACTGTAACCAAAATTTCCATTGACAAGTACTAGAATTGATTATTATTCTTATTAAGGCAACTTTAAAAATATATATTATTTGCTATTTTAAATGCAGCATTGTTTTTGTTCAACTTTAATGTTAATTTTTTTTGCTTTAAAAAAACAATAAAACTAATTATTAGATTTCTAAATTTTTGTTTATTTTTTGTTTTAGAAAGACTATCTGAGGCTTTTGATATTACCAGTGTTCTTTATCCAGATTCCGTAAGTTAAATAATTTTATAAAATTACATTGAAGTATAAAGCATCAATATGCATAATAAAATGTTTAAAAATTCATAAAATATTGTTTTTTTCATTTCTGTCCATTTCCATCTCTTTAAGTTTTATATCTCATTTAAAAGTCACATAGCAATATGAGGTTATTAACTATTGATTTATGAAGGTTTTTAAATAATTAACTATTATTCTCAATTCATTATGCATCTTAAAATAAGATTAAACTTTCTTGTTAATAGTTCATGACCAAAATATATGACAAATACAAGAAATAAAGTACCAAAAATATTAATCATCTTAACTGTGAGGAAAATTACTATAAAAAAGTAAAGGAATTCATGTTCAAATAACTGGGATCGCTAGCTACTGAAAGTAATAAGATTATGCTGGAAAATTAGAGCAAGGATAGCTGCTATAAACAAATGTTATTATTCATTAAAAAACTTGTTGAGATATAGCTCATTGAACTTAAAATTCTGATAGTTAGACCCATTATACTAGCCTAGACAAGAACATTTTCCTTACCTATATTTAAAAAAGGATTCTGATCTTTGAAAATATGGGTAAGGAAAATACTACAGAATGTTTTTTATATAATATGTAAGGAAGGACATTAGAGGAGCAGAATCAGTAACGATATTTATAATAAATGTGAGGAACATGATATTATAATGATCATGAGAGTAAAAATAAGGCAATGGTTTGGACATTCCCTACGGAACATACTCAACAAGAAACTTTTAGAAATTATAACACTGAAAACCAGAAAGGTAAAGATGTAGAGGAATGTTTAACACTGGATGCAACAAGCAAATGGAAGAGAGCTTGAAATTATTTAAAATTACCAGCTGCAAGAAAAGGCAAGTAGCAAGAAAGCTAAGTCTTGAAGGCATCCAAGGCTCTGCAAAAGCTGTATTGGCAGGATGATAATATTGGGGTATTGAGTCAGGGTGGCTCAGAGCATAGATTGTTCATCTTCCAATGAGGTGAACCGGATTTGAATCCCGGTGATGGCTGGACGATATGAATTCTGCATTCAGTTTGCATTGGCCTCAGTGCTGACCTAAAATATCCTCAGTGTTAGACAGATTATGGGATAGAGTCCCCTTGCCATTATGCTAACAGTGGGAGTTTTATGAGGTTTACCTCTCCATATAGTGCAAATGCGAGTTAGTTCCATCAAAAAGTCCTCCACACAGACAAATTTCTCCAGATACTTGATTCAGGAGTTTCCTTGCCTTCTGGATTGGGTTCAAAAATACATGGCTATGGAGTTGAGCATTAGTAGTCAAAAACCAAAAATGGGGTCGGCTGTGCAACAACGGCAATAAAAGATATTGTGATAAATTTTTTGTTTGCATAAGAAGGATTATTATTTTCTCTCTTTAATAGAAATAAATATTCTACAATGATGAAAGTTTTGATTATGAATTTAATTAAAAAATAGTATTTTAGCAATTAGATATATAAACCTTTTTTTTTTGGAAAATTGCATCATCTTTATTTTTCTTTTCAATTTTTTTATATTTTTATTTTATTTAGAAAGAAGTCATTTTTATTGGAGAAAACATTGTTTTGGCTCCTGATTTCCTGTTTTATTTGGGACAGCTTTTATCAATTTTAAATTCAGATCCAACAATTTCATCTATTTCTGCTTTGAATGAAAATGGTATGTAATTTATTTATTTTTTATTTTTCCTTGTATCATTCACAAATTTATAATTTATCTGTATTTTTTCTATTTCTTATTTTAATTCTTCAGTGCTGCAAAGAAATGTAGTTTTCGAAATTTGTGTATATTTTTATAAATAATTAGTGTGTAATTCAAATTATGTTACAAATTGCAGTTTCTAGTAAATTTTCAAAAGCAAATTTGGAAATCCTAATGTATTACACAAAATATCTATATGGATGCTAGGGCATCAATTTTGATTATAAACTGTAAAATCAAAAACATCCAGACGTTCATATTTAGCTACAGCTCTTTCACTGTTAGAAATTTTCATCTGAAGATGCATACTGTGCTGATGTGCTGTTAGCAGTTGTATGTTTAATTTAATAGAACATAGGTGCAAGTGCAAATATTTGTAAGTTTTTTATTAGAAAGTCATTTTTGTATAAATGTAAATTAAAGATTAAAAACAACAGACATAAAATTTGTAAGTAAATTAAAGATGTTACAAATTCAGACAGCAGACAAACAACAGACGTAAAATTTGTAAAAAATAATTCTTTTCACTCAATTTATTTCTTTGGGTTTGATCGATGAATTATCAAATGAGTTGAGATAGGTATATATAAATTTGAAAACATATTTTTTGTGCTTGTAAAAATATGTCTTTTAGCTTTTGATAAGACAAGATAATTTTTTCAGAAGAACTAAAATAGAATTTTTAATAAAAACTAAGTGCAATGGACAGAACTGCAGCACCTCCTTTGTATAAAGTCCCAATATATAGCAGTAAATGTAAGCTATAAATTTTTTTTACAAGAATGAGAACGAAAATAACCACTATTTTATGAATACAAAATTATTGCAACAAATTTTTTATTCTTGAGTTTGAATAATCAAGTATTTATATAAATGAAATAATATCTATTTATAATATTTGATTTTCTTCCAAAATTTTTTTTCAAGAAAAAGATTGATATCTTAAATTGAGAAAAAATTACAGGAAATATAAACTTAATTATTCAAAGAAAGGAAATATGTTACGCTTAATAATATGTAATTATCTTGAATGAAGAATAATTAAATGACTTTTAAAGATTTTATATTACATATTTTTATTAATCTATTCTTTCTATACATTTGAGAAATAAATTGAATGATTTTTTTTCATAAATATTAGTCCATGTTTTAATATTGTCTTTTAAAAATAATTTTAGAAAAGTCAGCAAAAAATCTTAGATAAATTCTTGATTTGATTTTTTCTCTTGAAACCTTAAGATAAATTTATTTAAGTGTTCAATTGCAAACAATATTTCCAACCATTAATGCTGAAAAGTGTGATTTTTTAATTATGTTTAAATTTTTAAGCAACTTTCTAAGTCTTTGAAAGCTTTGTCGGTAGTTTGAGTTATTATTCTTTTCTAAAATCGAAGTTATGTAAAAATAGAAAAGTAATTAGCATATTTTTTATTTATAAAATTATTGGTATTAATTCCAATATTATGAGAATGATTGTTTTAGTACAAGAGTAAAAAAAGCAAATCATTTCTAATACCCAAAAAATATGAATCTACATGTAAATATATATTTTTGGAACTCCAATATGCTTTGATAAATATATTCTTTAATAGTTTATTGTATAATATATTCATGTAATTACAATATTACATCTATACATAAACATAAAAGTTTCCAAAAAAATGACACTAAATGACATAAAAAATGACATTTGACTATTAAATTGTTTTTGGTTACATAACTATAAACGAGAAGACAATTAAGACAATTTTCATTTTTTATAATGCATTTAAAATGCTTAGTAATAAAGGAATAAACTAAGATATTAAGTAGTATTATTATAGAATTATTTCAAAAAGTAAGCATAAAGTTTTTTAATCAATTTAAAATGCTAAAAATGTTAATTAAGTGATCTAATTTTTTAAAATAAAGATTGTGTACTTTTGAGGTACAAGCATTTAAAACAAATCTGCTTTTAGTGATTTAATTTTACACATTAATTTAATTTTACATATTAATATAAATTTTTTTTTCTTTTGTATTAAAAATATTACAGATATTTTAGTATAAATAATTAATAAAAATAAATATTTGTTAAGCATTTTTATTGAAATATTTGTTTAACTTGATTCAATATACTGGAAATTAATTTCAACGTTATGAATTAGACGCAAAAGAAGTTTAGACCAGGAATTTCTCTGAAATTTCACTAGTATATTTAGAACAAACAATGGCTTAGTTTTAAGAGTAATATTTTCGAAATGAAGTAAATTTCTCTTCAGTTATAAGTCATTCAAGCATTGAATTTGAACCCCCGTTATGTAAATTGATATCAACTAATTATATACAATAGCAACTTATGCAATTTGTTTAAAATTTCGCTGAAATACTTCAAACTGACCTAATGGTTGTAAATTCAGAATCTCATCTTGTTATTATTATTATTTTTTTGATTTGATGATTTTAATAGTCAATTTTAGCGGGATATTTATATTGCTTTAGAATGCATAATGTTTAACACTAGTTTTAGAAATCCTTAGTTTTTAACAATAATTTTTAGAATCTTTAACACTTAAAATTATTTTATCTTTACAGGTTTTCAACATTTTTCTGGGGATCCAACTTTAGCTTATCGAGTTGAGTCATTTTTCAGCTTTGCATTTTTAGTACGAAAAGATTTTTTTCAGAAATCATGGTGTCATAACAAGTAAGATTTTATATACTAAGCTTTTAAATTATTGTATACATTGATATTTTTCTAGTTTAAATGTCAACTCTGTATCTTGAAATTGTGTTGGGGAATTCTTTATTTTTACTTTAAATTTATTTGATCAAATGAAAATCTAACTGAACAAATTGTTTGAAGAGTTTTCAATAAGTCTGTATTGTTTGTAAGATTTAAAGAATGAATTGTTTTATTTTGTTAATTATAAAAATGTCATGTTTTTTTATGTATTTCATATTTTCTTTTTATATAGTAATGATTAATTTCACAATAAAAAGATATAAATATGTACATACAGTGAAACTTCCTATTATGGACTCTCCTTCAAAATGTATGCCTCTCAAAACGAACATATTTTTAAATCCCCGTGAATCTTCTAGGAATAAACCATTATGTACATTCTCCTCAAAGCAGATACTCCCATAACTGGATGCGAACTGTCATTTTTGTCCTGAAGCGTTTTTTCTATCTCTTCAAACCGGACACGCCTTTTTCTAAATTTAAGAAAAAAACTATTTCTGTTTTAAATTGCAAGAAAAAAAATAATGCAACTTTTCATCATTTTTGAAGCTTGTAAATTTTTTGCCTTATCTATAACCAAAATTATTTTTAAGCTATTTTACTTCTAAAGAATCAATCTCTCTCCTGTCACCTTGCCCTATCTTAGCAAACAAAGGAGAGAAAATGATACTTCTCTTGCGAAATAATTCAAACATTAGCAATCTTCTGGACGACATAGATTAAGAGACCCCTCAATTTGAAATGACGTCTTAAATACTCTAAATTCTTCTTCACAGAAAATTTTTTCATTTTTTATCAATTGGAAGTAGCTGGAACTATTACCACAGCTGGGGTAAAAACAGGGAACAGAAAATTCATTTATCTGTAGCTACATCTAGAATTATGTATTTATTTAAAACTTTTTCTTATATACTTTTTTATATTGAAAAATTTTTTGTATTGAAATATCCTTGTAGATAGTTACTGTAGATTATTTAATTATTTCTATATCCTAGAAAATATTCTAAAAAAATTTACGGTGTTAAACTTCGTTATTAGGGTACCCTTCCCATGAACGGACAATTTTTTCGGTCTGAAGAATGTTTGCTTATCCGAGGTTTCACTATATATATATATTTAACATAAAAGGCTTCAACTAATATTTTTATGTTATTCCTTTTCTGTAAATCTTTTTCTTAATTTATTATTCTAATCAAAACACTCCTTCTCACACTTTAAAATTCACATCCTGTCTTTTAATCTATTTTTGGCTTCAAGTTATGCAGTAATTAAAATTTTTGATTTTTCCCCTTTCATGGAATCATGAGAAAGATTTTTCCCTTGACCTGTTTGATAGACCAATTATAATTATTAAGATTTCCCTTATTCCCGAAAACGAAAAATTTTAATGATCTATTTTGCCAGATTTTTCCTAACTTGTATTGAGGAGAACTTTGATTTTGTGTCACTTAGATATTCATTCTTTAATTATGATCGGTAAATAAAATTAATGTCTTTTTAAAATCCTGTGCCTGTTTGTCCTGCACACACGATTGCTACCCTTAGATATTGTCTTCTATCTGAATCTTATTGTGGCAAGATTTGAATATGTTTGAAATATTTTTATAACTGTGTACTTAAATAATGTTTTTATTTTTAAAGATCTGGTGTTGTGCCATCAGCTGAAATGCCATTCAATTTTAATGCTACAACTTTGATACCAGATGTGTCTAGAGTTACTCTAGCTTCTCCTGTGACTGACTTAGCTCTAAATTTCAGCGTATCCTCTGTGCTGTTGAATCAAGACAAAACAATTACATAGTATGTATTCATTCTTAATTATTATCTTTTGCTTCTAAAATGTTAAAAGACATTAAAAATAAAATATTTTTATTATAATTTAATCTTTATATTTTTCTCACTTCAGGTTGTATATTTTTTAAATATCTCTAATTTATTTACTATAAGCTATGGCGTAAATTGTGGTGGTTCAAAAATAGATAAATTTTTATTGGAGGTTTTCAGATCTGCTGAAGAAATCATTCTTCCTTTATGATACTGATAAAAATTATGTAGAAATGTATAGAAGAATTCAAATAATCATTTGTTGATATTCATAATGGTGAACAATCAGCATTTTTAAAATCCTTCCTTTTTTTTAATGAATACATTCTTTTTAAATTATATAAAAAGTAATCTAAACATTAATTTAAGCATTAATCTATATACTAAAATATCTTATTCTTTTTAAGTAAGTTTTTTTTTATAAATGCATCCTTTGTAGAATTTAAAAATGCATTTAAGGACAGAAAATAATCATTTTTGATTTAAAATTTTAAGCTTCCCAGAGTGCAACTAAATGACCTAAGCTTTTTAGTTATACAAGAAATTTTGTTGTTTGAAGTGTTGTTAACTAATTAAAGAGGGATTTATCGATAATGATTCCATGATTTGAATGGTAATGGCAATTGATTATCTTTCACCAAGGTTTTAATTCTTTTCTGCAACACTATAAATTTAAAATGCCTTGGTGATGGAAAGATAATTACAACTATATTACGAAGTCAAAACACTGATGCAGCTATTTAATTATTTTCAAAAATTACCTAAATGTGTTCAAACTCAAAGTCAGAATATCTATAAATAGAATTTGATTTTTCGAGAATGCCAAAATTACTGAGAAAAAGAGATTATTGGTTTATTATTATTCAGAAGAAAATTGGATGATGTATAAATTTATTTTTTAATTGATAGGAAGTATAAAACACTTCTTTTGGTATTACATATGACAACACATTGCATTGTTTTTTATTGTATCAGTAACTGTTGGTGTATTATTTAAAAAAAAAAACAAATATGGGAACAATGTAATTGATCTTATAAGTTAAAGGGATATAAATAGAGACACAGTTTTTCTTGTAGAAATTTTAAAAAAAAGTGAAATGCATAGATATTTTTTATTTCTGAAAAGTAAATGTTATGCATTAGGTGTATAAATATTTTTATAATATTAGTTAATAGAAACACCTTATAAAGTAAACATTTATTAATACTAATTAATTTTTTTTAAATAACTTGACTCCAATTGATTGCAATGCTTCAAAATAGTATACACAATTTTTACATTTCATTGTACACCTGTATGTCATTAAATAATGCAATTGAATTAACTATATTTTTAAATTAATCTTTGCCTATTAATTTAAATAAAGAATTATAAATTGAAAACTGAAGAATTTTGTTGTGCAAAAATTGTACTGTTCTTTGAAAAAAATTTTTATTAAAGAAATACATGTGAATTTTTTCAAAGTATAGTGTATGAAGATCTTAGGAATAAAAAGTGATAGCAGACATTTTATAAAATCTTTACCACAAACGATTGTATAATAATTAAATTTTTTTCTCTCCATAAGCAAGTATCATCATTAGTACAAGTTGTGAAGAAAAATTCTGTGTCTTGTCCAGCACCAGTGATAGTACTTACTTATTGTCTCACTATGGTGGCCTGTCTTCAAAACTTGTCTATTTGTTCTTTTTCTATAAAAGCAATGGAAGAAGTTTAAATAAACAATTTAAAATAAAAGATGGACATTTTGACACTATGTATTAGCAAGTATCATTATAGTTCCAAGACTCATAATGTAGAATCTTTTATGTCTTGGCCAGCACTGATGATAGTACTCACTTATTGTGTCATCGTGGAAGTTTATCTTTCAAAGTTTTTACATGTGCTTTTCACTTAAAAGTAATCTAAAAAGCTCAAATGAATAAATACAAATAACAGAAGAATGTTTAGATACTTTTTGACGACACAATCATAAGTGCCAAAAATGATGAATTCTGTGGGAATAATGAAGAATTTTGTGCATTGTATAAAAATAGGTCAGCACTCATGATATTACTCTCTTATGGTTTATCTCACAGTATCATTATTTTCTTTGTAGTATCTTTATGGTATCATTATACTTCTTATAGTATCATAATGGTCCATCTCACAGTATCATTATTTTTCTTATAGTATCCATATGGTATCATAATACTTCTTATAGTTTCATTATGGTCTATCTTCTAAACTTGCTTATTACCATTTTTTTTACATTGTTCTTATGTTACTTTGATAACAGCCAGAAAACCTTTTTTTTAATAATATTTTTTTTAAAGATAATATTGAATTAGTTTAAATGATTATATGATTGAAAAATTTTATGTTCTAATTAAGCTGTTGCTAGTTTGAACATAAAGTATGTTTTGTTTTCTAGTGAACAAAATATTTTATTGAAAAATCCAGAGAATTTAGTTCGAGATGAATATGATCAGGAACTGAAACAAAAAATAGAATCAGCGATTTCTTTAAAGTTAAATAATAAGCTTTTGAAGATGTGTTTGATGGAAGATGATGATTTTCAAGAAAAATTCTTCAATAATCTACCATTTCTCATTAGCAACGCTTCTAAGTAAGTTTTATATTCTAACCATTAATTTTACATTATAATGAGTATTGTATTTTACTATATGAAAACTATTTTGTTAATACTTATATGACTGATTGCTGCAATTTGCATAACTTCATTTGATTGCTGTAAAACTAGTTCATACTAGATTTGGTGTATTGCTACAAAAATTTTTAATTAAATATTAATAATTTAAATATTTATTTCAAATGAGTGTAAATGAATTTTTAATGAAATAATATTTTAAGTTTGGTCCAACATACACTATCTAGCCATTAATGACTGGACACCCCTTGAATGGCAGGTGGACTCGTCCTGGCGGAAAAAATACGGAACCTGTGGTGGGGGGAAGACCATTCACAAGCAGGCGACGGCCACACAAGCGTTAACAGTGAAAATGAGTGGACGGCGAGAGCTGAATGAGGCGGAAAGGGGCATGATCATAGGCGCCCACCGATTTGGTCATTCCATACGTGCCATCTCCGACAAGTTTCAGATACCACGGTCAACAGTTCGTGACGTCGTGTTGAAATGGGAACGAGAGGGAGTGATAAAGCTTCAGTCCTGACCCGGCAAGCCCGAAATAATGTCCAACAGGGATCGACGATCTCTTCGACGTGTAGTGATGGCAAACCGACAAATGTCATTGGACACTGTCGCTACCAACTTCTGGGCTGCATCTGGCGGTGTTGCCAGTACACGTACCATTCGTCGGGAGCTGATTGCACAAGGATTCCATGGACGAGCAGCAGCATATAAGCCGAACATCTCTCCCTCAAACGCCTGCCACTGATTTCAGTGGAGCAGAGCACGTCGCCAGTGGACAGTAGAGCAATGGAAATGCGTTATGTTGAGTGATGAGTCACGCTGCACGTTGTAGCACTCTGATGGACGGGTGTGGACCTGGAGAATGTCCGGAGAACGGTACCTACCGGAGTGCATTGTCCCCACTGTGAAGTTCGGCGATGGAGGAATTATGGTGTGGTCCTGTTTCTCATGGTCTGGCCTTGGACCCTTGGTGTTAGTGCGTGGAACTCTGAACGCAGAAGGGTATAGAGACATCCTGGACAATTCGGCGCTTCCCACCCCGTGGCAACAGTTCGGTAATGGCCCGTTTGTGTTTCAACACGATAACGCTGCCATTCATAAAGCACATGCCATCACGGACTGGTTTGATGAAATGGGGGTGCAAGAGCTTGACTGGCCATCCCAAAGTCCCGACATCAATCCAATTGAGCATCTCTGGGATGAGTTGGAGCGCCGGTTGAGGGCCAGACCACAACGCCCCAAAACCACCACTCAACTCTTCGCCATGTTACAGGAGGAATGGCGGGCAATACCTGCCGCCGTGTACCAACACCTAGTGGATAGCCTTCCTAGAAGGGTTAAAGCTGTGATTAGGGCGCGTGGCGGCCCTACGCCCTACTAACTTGATACTAGCACCTCATGTATCCGAAATGAGGGGCGTCCGGTCATTAATGGCCAGATAGTGTATATGAATTATTTTTGCACATTATGAACTATTACTAACACAATGTTCTATTCAATAACTTCCTCAACAACAGTAGTATTTAGTAGTTTAGACAGTTTGAATATGATCTCTTCAATATTACATATTCCATAGAACTAAAAACTGCTGTAAAATAATTCTTTTTGAATAATCTGCATGCCATTAATTTTTGTTGAAGCATTTTCTTTCTTCAAACATTAAAAGAGTATATATATTTTTTTATTTTTATCATATCTTGCTCTTTTTTTGTTGTCTTGTTTGTAAGGAAAAATGAATTCTTTTCTGTAAGCTTGTTTTTAAATTGATTAAAAAATTATTATAATCAAGTTTTTATTAGAACCTTAAGAACTTAAGTATGATTCATTAGAAACTCTAACTCTAATAAAAAGTGAAAAGAAAAACAATTTTTTGATGAAATACCAAGTTGGCAAGCATGTTAACATTAAAATGAACTACATCTTCCCTGGTATAAATATATTATGATTTGTTTAATTATGGAAACTTCATTTTGCTAAATATTTAAATAAAATGGTTAACAGTGAAAAATTAAAACTGTTACTAAGTAATATAATGCAAAGTAATAATTTAAATTTGATTGTTTTAAAGTTGCTAAAACTTAATTTATATGTTAACCTTATAAATTAACTATATATATCTATGAATTTTTTGTAATTAAAATCATGCTTCCAAATTTGCTTATCATAAGTGTTTAGTTTTTTTGAGGGAGAAAGGAAGAAGGGGAAAATTGAATTACATTGTTTGAATGATTCTCTAAATTTATCACATGCAAAACTGCACAAATGTTTCCTTTATGTGCAAAATGTTTCATTCTCATGTGTTTATTTCAACATCTGTTACTTTTTATGTTTATGCTAAAATCATAATTGCGTTTAAACTTTCTTTAAATTTATGTTGCTTTTTATGATTAAGTCTTTTTTTATTTCTTAAACTCAAGAGTAAATCTTGCTCTTTTACTTAAATTTAATATTAAATTTTGTTTTATTACTTTAATTTAAATATCTTAATTGATGATAAATCACACAAACTAAGATTTTATCATTTATTTTTTTATTTTAAATGACTTGTCAGATGCTATTAAATAGAATGTTTGTTCTGACAATGTATATTTAACTTACTATCTTCTAAAATGCTTAATTTTTGTACAATTCTTTCTTGTAGCTCATCCAATAGAGCACTGGCAATCTACTTTTTGCAAACTAATGAGGAAGACATGTCAACTCTTCAATATTTAATTCAGTGTATTGGATTGTTTCATCATTCTCTATATCCTGTGAGAGGCGTTTATAAAGGAATTGTCAGGTAAGTGCCTTCAATTGGTTGTTCAATTATTTAAAAAAAAAGTATCCTAATAGTAAATTACATTTCTTTAAACTTTTAATTAATGACTATTTTTTAAATTTAACATAATTATAGTTTTTATACCAATGTTTTCAAACTACCTTCATAAAAAAATTCTAAAGTTCTCAAAAAATTCTCATGCACTTAAATTTCAACTGTTATTTTAATAATGTGAAATTTGTATAACATATATTAGGTTCTCCATATTTTTTTTAAAGATTTTGGTTATAAAATGCTGTTTAAAGATTTATTTCTGTTTATAAAAATATATCTTATATGTTAGAGTACATTAAAAGTTATCTTGCGAACGTAGGTGAAAAAATTTGCTTCCAACAAAAATATTGAAAACGATTGAATATTTTTATAGGAATAAGTGATGGACCACTTGAACGGGAAATAAATGATTTAAAAAAATATTTCTTTAAATAATTTACAGTATAAATGTGTGAATAATATAACATAAATTTGTTAATTTTTAAATAAGTATTTCTGTTTAAAATTTTTCTTGGTCAGAAGATTTACGTTTTAAACTTTTTTCAGGTATGAATGAAATTTATTTATTCCATTGCATTTGTTATTTTCTTCTTTTATAATTTTTGCATGTTTCCTCAATTTTAGTAAGAAACTATTTCTTGATTAATTGGACAATTAGCTTCATTATATAGTTTATACAAATTTCATAGTTGCTTAATCTACTGGTTTTTCCAGTAAACAACAGGATTTTCTAGTAAACTACTGAACATTTTTCTCCTGGTCTTCTCATTTAATCTAAAATAAATATGTTATGTCCACCTAAAGTTAATTTATTATTTATTTTAATTCAAAATTATTATTACAAAAATACAATAAAAGCATTTAATTGTAAATGGAAAGTATTAAACGTGTTGAATTAAATTTGGAAATAGTGTATTAAAACTTTTCATTTTATTGATTGCAAAAATTGATAAAATTTGCAGTATCCAAATTATTTTAAATATTACTTATTAGTTTGCATGCAATTTATTTTATTTTGTTTAATCTTCTGGGTTTTCTTCATATTGTCAGCTATGAGTTTTATTGCATAGTTTAGTGCCACTTTCTAAAAATTAGTGCAAATTTGTACTATCACAAACAGAAATATCCAACTTATTTTCTGCATGGATAGTTTTCTCAAAAATGTGTAATAAAATAAACATTATCTTTAAAAAACGAAACAAATATATTGATCTGTTAGAGATATACTATGTTTTGTCGGAGAGAATGTGTCAAAAATCCATCCGAATAACTGCCTTTTATTCATTTTTTATTAATAGTAACTTAACAGGACATCATGCAATCTTTTTAGAACTGTATAACTATCAATATTGTTTTTAATAAACTTGTGTACTTTTCTTGTCAATATTAAGAAAAAAATGGCCAAAATATGCTAGTTTTGGGAGCAACCATGCTGCAAACTGTAGAAAAGTTTATTCTGTTGCATCATCTGGTATCTACAATTCCAACATGGCCTTTTAAAAAATTTAAAATAATGTTATCTCAATATTAATAAAAACAACAGAGGCATATGATGGGACTTCAATAATTGCCTTGAAGACTTGTAGTTTGTTGACGACATTGCTCTAATGTCAATCTAGAAACACAAAGATTGGTCTAAGAAGGAAATTTGGTAGATTTTGAAATTTGAAAGATTTTGAAAGAAATGTGAAAGATTGTAAGAAAAAGTGTAATTAAAATTGGTCTAAAAATAAATTAACGAAAGAATAAAGTGATGAAATTAAACAGTAAAACAAATGGCAAGTTATTGGTCAATTCAAAGGAAATAGAAGAGACAAATACTTTTGCATACCTTGGAGCAATTTTTAGTAAACATAGTGGTACTGACAAGGATATTAAGAACAGGATTAAAAAGGCACTGAATATTTTCAGATATGTAGATCACAATGTTTGAAATATTCAATGCAACAGTGAAATCTGTTCTGCTATAGGGCAGTAAAACGAATTGGCAGGAAAACAAAATCGATGCCTTTCAATAAAGTAAAATATTAAAAATCTACAGGTTGAAAAAAATAAGAACTGTACTGTATATTGTAAATCCAGAACCAAGCCATATTAAAAAAAGAGGCGATGGAACTGGATTAGTTGCATGATAAGAAAACATACCAAGGGGTGCAAGAGAATTGCACTGACTTGGTCACTAGATGGAAAAAGGAAAGGTAGGATAAGAACAACATGACCAAGCGTGGTGATTAGCAAAAAAATTTATTTAATAGAATGAATTGGAATGTTGCCTGCAAGATCGCACTGGGCAGGAGAGGATGGAGGACAGAGATTGCGACCTCACGCGCCTTTCAGGCATAGAGAGCTTTCAAGCATAAAGAGCTTTAAGGCAAGACAATATATTTCTATTGTTTACAAATTTTCATGAGGTGGCTTTAGAGCATTCGCCTCTTTCCTATGATATACAGTTTGCAGGGAATATTGAAAACAAAGAGAGAAACCTATTGTTAGAGCCTAAATGTTTAATATCCTTTGAATTTTCACCTTTGAAATGATGTGTTTTTCTATAAGTTGTTAATAGTTTTTAAATCATTTCGAAATATTTCTCATACCTATGCAATAAATTGTACACAAAAGTCCCAGTTTTTTACTGTTTCATTGTTTATTGTTAAAACAGTATCATCATAAAATTTTTCTCTTTTTAACTTCAAAAAAATTGAAGCAGACAAAACTTTGAGGAAAAATTGGTAACCAGTTTAATAGTTGCTAGCCTCAAAATATCATCTTTGCTCTTCTCTAAAAGTTTTATTATAAAAATTCTGATTAGTCACAAACATGCACATTAATGTAAGTTTAAAAATCTTAAAGAAATACTATATTTACTATATTTAACTGTACTATTTTTAAATGTATCTATATTAAACCGTGTTTTGTAGCCTAAGTTTCGTATTTGTTTACAATTTGTTTTCGCATCCTTTAAGAAAGCTGTTATAGATATCGGTTATTATTGTGATTTCAAAACATGTAAGATTTAAGAATAAAACCACTCATCTACTTCCAGCGTACCTTAACTTATTAATTAGCTTGATTTTTGGCTGCACAATTTTAAATTGTGAGATACTTGAAATTCTACTAATGTAAGAGGCGGATAAGTCGGTTTGCCTAAGTTAGCTGGTTATAAATAAATACAAACCAATTTCCCTTATGTTGTATAGCTTGTGTGTAAAGAGATATAAAAAGTTTGTGACTTTTATCACATTTACTCCTAAGTATATTGGTCTTTTTGTTCTGCCCATTTGTGCTTTTTACAATACCTTAATTTTTGCAAGGATGTTCAATTATTATAATTTATGTAATCTTTTATATCAATTTTTTAAAGGTCTTAAACTTAGTATTTATTTTATCATGGGATAAGCAATCTTATCCTCTTTGTAAAGTAGATCGAATTTCAGCTATAAAGCTAAAATTATCATAATTCAATTATCAATCATCATTCATTTCAATTAGTTAATAAATTATCAAACAATCAATCAATCACCAATACATTAATTATCAATGATTTTGAGTTGTTATATAATCAGAAACAAATATAAGGTTTAGATTTTATTTCTAATGTTCAAAAAGATTTGTTGAAAAATACATATTTTAAAATATCTCATTAAGTAAAATATTGATTTTTATGGGCTTGGATTTTTTTGTAATCTTTCCCTTGTGAGATAGTCAAGAGCCACCTTTTTCATTCAGTATCAGATACAAACTGCCGCAGATTCAACTTATTTGTTATTTACCAAACTCTCATATTTTTTTTGTGTGTATGATAAGTATCATTTTAAATCTACACTGGTGTTCAAAATTAAGAGTTTTTTTTTATATTTGGTCAATTATCTCCAGAACTACTGGATGAATTTTTATAAAATTTGGTTTGAACATAGGCAGATATAATACAAAAATAGAAGCCATTCAACAGTTATAATACATATTCATGATCATGTGTAATACTCGTCAGAGTCGGATGGTATCAAAAAGTGGCCATAGAATTGAACAATGGCCTTCTCATACAGATATACAGACCTCACACCTTGATTTCATACTGGAAATAAGCCAGGTTATGAGTTCTTATGGCAGTAGTTAATCCCACTTGTTCAGTAATGCTGGTTTCAGACACAGGATGAGTCTCGGAGGTGGTTACTTGTTGCAAATTGCTTTCCTTGTCAGAAGATCTGGCTGACCACTCCATCTGGCATATATCTTAATTTCGTAGAAAATGGTTGATCTGAAGTTTTCTGTATTGTGTTGTGTTGTCATCCATTAAAATGAAATCAGGACCCAATTCACCCCTGAAAAGATGAACACAGGAGAGCTAATCCCTATACCTCACACTAGTCACAGTACCTCTTCTAATGACATGGAGCGGTGTGCGAGAATCCAGCATTGTGCCAACCCGGACCAGCAAACCTCCTTGTCAATTTCTAGGATTGATTGGATGGTCGTGTTCTCGAACATTTGAGGGCAGGTAGCTGGTCCCTGGTTGCTGGTCCCGGCGTACCCTATGAAAGTACTCCGAAAATCAGTGATGAGGCTGAAGCGGAATTCATCAATGAAGAGGACATTCGACCAGTGATTCATAGTCTAATCTCTATGATTTCTGCACCATTCAAAATGGACTGTTGGCAGAAATCAGCGGGACGCATGCAGCAGGTTTTCTTGCAAACAGCCCTATCTGATGAAGCCTTCTGGAAACTGTAACCCTTGAAACTCGGCTTTCTGAGGCCGCATAGAGATAACGAAAGAGCTGTAGCATCATTGCTGTAATCGACAAATTCTGATTTCCGTTGGCCGTTGGGTATCTTGGCCGACCTTGGCTGGACTTTCTCTTGATAGATGTGGAATTCTGTAATCGCTTTCATAAATTCGATACGACGCTGGGCGTTAAATTGAATTTTCTACAAATTTGGATTAGAGACTGGTCTGTTTCAAGTCTCTCC